ATCCATGCAGCAGACCGAAGAGGGTGCGGTCATCATTCGTCGCTTTGACTTGACGGATGAGGAGAAGCATCGTCAGATGGAACGGGAGATCTTTGAGGAGCCCAAGACCGCCGAGGAGAAACTTCGCGCGGGTGACCCTGCTGCCACTGTCCAGATCATGTCGAAGGCCAAGTCGAAGGCGGCTTCCTCATCCGAAGCGGCATCATCTTCGAGCGGCATCGCACAGGTGATCGGGGACACTGTCAGCCAATTCATCAAACCAAAGATGAGGGATCAGGCTACCATGATTCAGCCCAAGCCTGCTCCGCGGCTCCCAAAGGTTTCAACGGCGACGGGAACGTCTCCCATGGCGTCCCCAAAGCCCAGTCCGCCACCGACTCCGAAGAGTGCAACTGGATCCCCCAAGCCGGAACCACCTGCACTCCCAGCGGAAGCTGCGGACCATCCAATGCCCAAAGCTTTGCCCTTTAAGGCACCGCCTGCAACGTTGACAACAACCTCACCGAGGGCACCTCCGCAGAAGTCATCGGCGCCTGCAGCTACGTCTTCGTCGGAGCCTGCCCCGAAGATGGCCAAGAAGGAGCCGCCTATGGCAAGTGCTCCTCCCCCGGGAACGGGTGGACCTCAGCCTCCGGCTGAACCGCCCTTGCGACCACAGGGATATCCCAAGTGGTACTTTTTCTCCCCGGGAACGGGCGAGCGCAGGGAATTCACCGTTCGGTGTACAGACCTGCCAGGCCTGAGGGACCTTGGAAGACTCAGTCATGATGATTTCAAATTTTCAAAGAGGGTGACCGGGCTGCTCCGTGGATATGATCACAAATTCCTCGAGGCACATCATCGCCATATTCCTCCTGAATTTGATGAGGAGCTGTACTTGAACTTTGAGTCCATGTACGCGTACCTCCGAAAGCGGCATCGTGCTCAGCTTTCGCGACAGGACTTGTACCTGATTCTTCGAACTCAGGACAGGTTCATGTGCCGCATTCAGGCTGGAATTGTCGGGGAACTGACAACCATGGACATGCCATACCGCATCACCCACGTGAAGGCCTGCCAAGGCCATGACCAGTCGCTCATTGACAAGGTGGGAACGGCTCCATTGGTCAAGCAAATCATCTCGCTTGACTACCAGTTCACGGTCGAGGATTTGAAGAAGGGATTCTACCCCAGGGTTCCCATTTATCCTCACCTGGCGGAAGCCGAGGTCTCAGAAGAGTTTAAGGTTATTTACCATTACACTTCATGGGACTCCCTCCAGCAGATCATTTGCACGGGGATTTTTCCAGGGGCCACTTCATGCAAGGGTCATGCGTATATGACCCGCCATGCGCCTTGGGAAATCGAAGGCAAGGATCCTGGTGTCAGGACGAACCGACCGCTGTGCATCGCGATCGACACCGATTGTGCTTTGCACTATGGTCTTCGCCTGGTGGAAACCTTGGCCGGTGCACTCATCACTGAGGACTGGGTGCCCAATCATTGCCTCATCTACGCATTCGACTGCGAGAAGTCGCAATACCTTTGGGCGAACCATGGCTACAACGGTGTGAAGAAGTACCTTCGGCAGAAGGCCTCCGAGAACGCTCTCACTTGGCAAGAGAACGAGGCTCGGAAGGGCACTCCCAACTATGACGAACTTGAGAGGTACGAGATTTCGGACCTGGAGGTGTTGAAGAACATGTTCGTGAATGAGTACGATCAGTGGAAGGATGTCATCACTCTGCGACGTCCGCTCATTTACAAGGAAGTTCCGACACCATACCCTGTCGTCGATGAGTTGCTGCCCAAGTTCAAGCAAAGGCCGCTCAACTTCACCAATCTCCTCTGTGTGGCACGCAAGCCGACGGCAACAGCTGCTGGCTTCGACATCGCCCCTGACAACGCGCGGGAACGCCGTTCTGATCGCTTCGATCAGGAGGCATTTGACCCATCCGCGGAGGGGAACCTCACGCGCTGGCGGTATGTATCAATGCTGGCAATGCCGGAGTTGACATGCCCCCGGTGCAGGAAGATTTTTCCTGAGGGGATGTTGGTTTGCCTTGCATGCGGCTTGTCGTTGGCGACAATGTCCGACATGCGCCGTGCGTGTCAGGTGTTCCGCCTGGAAGAGTTGGCTGAGAAGCTGGGCTTCGAGCTGACATTGGATCTTCTGGGCGACGACGATGTAGCAGGCACCACCCAAGGTGCCAAGCAGATCAGATCTGCTGCGGCAGTCCTCAAAAATCACGCCCGCTCATACATGAAGCAGGCGAGAAAAGCTGGACTGACTTTGCTACAGCGTCTGGGAACGGACGCCCATTACGCCTTTAATTGTGCGGTCCAAGACCTTACACCTCGGTGTATGCATTGGATTACAGTTCTGGGCAATGTGGTGCTTCCCTCCATCAAGCGCACGCGAGAGGAGATCCGAACTGGAAAGATTCGGCAGTACAAAGCGCGTATGTGCATGGTCGCATACGAAGAGGAACAGATGAAGACGATCATTGTGGATGATCATGTCCTCATCTGGTACAAGAACCGCTTTTACAGAGCCAACCAGTTCGCGGCCGCCTATGCCTTGATCCCGGTGGCCGAACGTTTTGAGGTCTTGAGCGTCGCCAACACGACGTTCCAATCCCTTGCGTTGTCCAAGCAGGATGTGTATGCCGACATTCTCAGCTATGTCGAGGACATCCTGCGCCCCCTCACGGAGGCAAAGGACACGGAAGGCGGAAGCCGACCCCTACCTGCAACGAGGCAGCAGAACCCGGATGTCACCAGGTCCTCGCGTCCTGGCTATGGTTCTCATCAGGGGCCCACTCATGGCTACAGTCAGCAGGAATGGAACGACTACTACAATCAGTGGACTGACCAGGAGTGGGAAGATTGGCGCCGTCGAAATCAAGGCCACCAATACCGGGATCGACGTTGGTCGGGCTATCGCTGAGGCACCGCGGAGGGGAACCTCTCGCCTGGTGGATTTATCTTCATCTGAGGCGGGATAGTTTTCTTTCAATGTGAGGTGTCGCACAGCGGAAGCTGTTGCCTTTTCGGATTTAATTCGGTTAGGCGACTAGCTTCATTTTGCACGCGTGGGTGAGCGATTCCACGATTATTTCCAACACAAGTGTGCTAAGTCGGAATTTTTGCCAATCTATTCAAGTTCACAAAAGTTTCATTAACGCTTTGAATGCATATAATTTGAAGCAGGCATTTGGCACTCATCTTATTCTTGCCATGATTCCTTCTTGCATAGCACACGGCTGGTAGTTGCATGATCCGCAGAGCGGAAGCTCTTGCCTTGCGAAGATAAGGCAGCTTTGAAGCATTTCTAAAAGCTTCCCTGCGGGTTCACATCAAAACCGAATTCAGCATTTTGCCATAATTCATATCATTTTGCTTTGGCAAGCTCCCGGGCGTCCACAAGAACTTTTGATGCCGCGTGGAAACGCAGGCCTATGTAACGGGCCAAGTCCTTTTTCCACTGTGCATGTTCGACCGCAAGCCCGGTAGAGCACAAAACCTGATATTGCTGCATTCGACCGAATTGATGTTCACTGCATCCGTTGGCCATAATACTTGAAGTTGTGCCGAACGATATGCATTGTCAGCTTTTGCTCTTGTTTGCAAATTGTTTGCACGCCTGAGGTGAAGATGGAAGTACTACGAAAGGTTAGGCCGTGCTACGGAGGGTTTGGTCCTTGGGTTTTGTTGTTTTGTTACTAATGGCATCCCTTAACTCCGTAGTGCAACCCTTTAATTTGCAGCTTCACTTCCTGTGCGGTAATTACACTGCACGGGGGGTGTTGATGCACAGTAGTACCACATGTATATATCCTTTTCACCTCATATACTGTTGCGTGCGTGGCTCAAGAAACATGCTTTGCAGGGTGTACTAGGTTTGTGGCTTATCCCGGTTTCTAGCTTGTTTCTACATGTAATATACTGGTAAGGTTGCTTGCAACCAACTCCTTAGTAGATAGAAGAATCAAGTCACTCCAAATGATCCAAATAGGTGAAACAAGTTGAAACACCTTGAAACGAATGTCTATTTGCTGCATTCTATATACCACAATATATATAATTATATAAATATTATATTATAATTTTATGCATTCACCATCATTCACCTATAAAGGGGGTCGCAGGGGACTGTCCAAATTCCACAAGTTTTGATGGACAGGAGGAGAGAGCCGATCAGGATCGGCCAACATAAAGCCGTCCCAAAGGGACTCTCGTGCTTTACAACTTCAATAAGATTCCACAAGTGACGCCGCTGGGAGAGCATTTGGTCGCAAATCATTGCAGGTTCATACGCGCAGCAATTTTGCAAAATGTTGCCACTTTTTATAGCTATCTCAGGGCTAGAGCAAGCTATAGTTGTTTAGGACACAGTTACCTCCCCAGTGCCTTGGTTAATCTTTATTGACTGTGGTCCAAAGATGACGGACAGTCTGCACGATGTCAGTGTTTTGCCATGTTTGGCGCCTGCAGAGTACATCCTTGATGATCCTTCTGTAGCACACTGCATGCAGGTGTTAAATTTGCACATTTGGTTGGTGTTGGAGCAGTTCTGGCCAACAATCCTAAGTCTTGAAGCTTTCCATGGGGAGGTAGGGGGGGGCCATTTCCACATATTTCCACAAGGTTTGCCGCATTTTGCCGCTGTGTGCAGCGTTGGGCGTTGCAAGTGGATGTCCTGAATTTTCTTGCCAAGCATCCTGTCGCGGTAGGTCAGGACCGCAAAGCATTAATTACAAAACAATTTCAGCGACTCTAATCCCACACATGAGCAGTTGACATCAAAGTAGATAACTCTCAGAGCATTTGAAGTGCTTGAACCTCTAAGCTTCTTTTCAGCCGGGAACAAACCTAAAGCTGTTGAAGATGTTGAAGACTCATGAAGATCCCCGATACGATCAGACAAGAGCACCTAAGGACCTATAATTAAGGTGGAAGATTTGGGCATAGGATGTTCAAATTGCAGGTACCTTTGTAAATGCTAGACCCAAGCGTGGATGGCTTCCCCCGCCTTCGCCGCTGCGGGTGCTGGCGTAGCTGTCATTTTGGCACGAGATGAGAAGCTCGGAACCGTGGCAACTGGTGCAGCAGCTGCAGCAGGTGGGACCCCATTCCAAATATTCCAACTGGATCCAACTGGTCTGTGAAGGATCCAGGGAACATAGGGAACTTCAACATACTTCAACCCCAAGGAGACACTATGGAGACTATATTAGGCCATGCAGGCCTTCCCGGGGTTGCCTCCAGGGGTTCCTGCAAGTGATCCATGAAATTGGCTTGAATCTTGGGAGTTCCTTTCGGCGATACCCGTTTTAGGCTTGCAACAGTGTTGTTTTGTCACACGTTGTTCAGCATTTCACAGGGAGAATTGAAGAAAATGACAAGACCCTCACAAGAGAAGAACTGAAGTACGCTGAACATCGCACCTTATTTATGATATGTGTTTGTTTGATTTTGTTTGAACTGTTGCCCTCTGATTTCTGCGATATGTTTTATTGTTTTATGTATTTTTTGTTCTGTTTCTGTGCGCGGCTAGGAGCTTTGAGCGGCTACGCTCTTTGGCAATACCTGTCTTCAGATGGTGCCGGTCGTGCGTTGCGCACATTTGACGGCATCTTGGGTCGAGAGGCAGGGTCTTGCTTGACCAAGGGATGCAAAGGGAAAACAATGGAAAGCATATTATTTTTCCACATTGATTTTTGCCTCTCTGCCTATGTGGGAATTGTCATACTAATGTTTGTACATTTGTACATGATTAGATTCAAAGTGTATCCATTTAGTTTGAATGCATGTTTGTGCACGACTTGAATGTGTGGTTTTCCTTTTTTGCCTTGTGCTTTTCAGGTGGAGCAAAGGGTGATGGATCTTTGCGGTGGAGAAGCCAGCCTTTCTTTGCGTTTAGCCGCGCGTGCATGCAGCGATGACGAGGCGTGTTGACGAAAATGACGAGCCACTGCCATGTTTGCATTGCGAATTGCACGATTTTACTCAGCCCTGGTCCTTTCCAAACGTCTGAAACATTCTGAAACTAGGATGGTGGTGTGGAGCATCTACGCCGAATTTGCAAGAAGAAAGGAGTTTCTTCCGCCGTGGGAACACGTGCGGTGAGGCTTGGCTTGTTTGAATCGTCCCTCAGTCCTTGCTTGCCTCCTGACTTTGGAGAGGTCAATGCAGCAGAATGGTAGGGTATTCTTAGGCATGACGGCATGATGCCCAAGACCAGGTTCGCCGTGTTTTCAAGAAGTGTGAAACTGTGTGAAACTGTTTAGTGAAACATAACATTACTGTACCTTTTACATTTAGTGATCTACTGTGAGCACCCTTCTTGGTCAACTAGCATGGGATTCTCAGGAAGCTTTTGTCAAGGGACCTCCCGGAAGAGGACAGAGACCTACAAACTTTAGAGGACAGACCGTCATGGGATGTGGGCCAACAAGAACTCACCCGTATGGCGCCGTATGGCCTGACGTCTTCAAACGTCTTCAAACCTTGGAAGTCTTTGGGTGTCGCCTGTTGATGGCTTGGATGATTTTGCGTTTGAAACGTAGACGGGAATATTGGCAAGACGTGGCAGGCCTGACAGGACCATCAGGGCATATCAAACATTCAAAGCTTGGAGGGGTCGGCAATTCCCCAGATGTCTGGAGGACGCGCTGGCGCTTGCAACCTTTTCACAAAAGCTTCAAATCCTGAACGAGGTTCGGCAGATCAAACAATGTTTGGATGATCTGTCAGTCAGTATATTTACTATACTAGAGGATCCCACACACACGTGAAAGTTGCCTTTGAACATCCTTAACCTGTTTTAATTTTGATTATATATTATGATTATCATGAAAAATATGTCTATCTATCATTATCTACCTATCATTATCTATCATTATCTATCATTATCTATCATTATCTATCATTATCTATCATTATCTATCATTATCTATCATTATCTATCTATCTATCTTTCTGTCTATCTATCTATCTATCTATCTATCAATCATCCTATCTATCCTATCTATCCTATCTATCCTATCTATCCTATCTATCCTATCTATCCTATCTAGCCTATCTAGCCTATCTATCCTATCTATCCTATCTATCCTATCTATCCTATCTATCCTATCTATCCTATCTATCCTATCTATCCTATCTATCCTATCTTTCCTATCTAATCTATCTAATCTATCTAATCAATCTAATCAATCTATCTAATCTATCTAATCTATCTAATCTACCTAATCTACCTAATCTAACTATCTACCTATCTACCTATCTACCTATCTACCTATCTACCTATCTATCTATCTACCTATCTATCTATATCTATCTATCTATATCTATCTATCTATCTATCTTTATCTATCTATATCTATCTATATCTATCTATATCTATCTATATCTATCTATATCTATCTATATCTATCTATATCTATCTATATCTATCTATATCTATCTATATCTATCTATATCTATCTATATCTATCTATATCTATCTATATCTACCTATATCTATCTATATCCATCTATATCTATCTATATCTATCTATATCTATCTATATCTATCTATATCTATCTATATCTATCTATATCTATCTATATCTATCTATATCTATCTATCTATCTATATCTATCTATATCTATCTATATCTATCTATATCTATCTATATCTATCTATATCTATCTAAATCTATCTATATCTATCTATCTATCCATCCATCCATCCATCCATCCATCCTATCCATCCTATCTATCCTATCTATCCTATCTATCGTATCTATCCTATCTATCCTATCTATCCTCTCTATCCTATCTATCCTATCTATCCTATCTATCCTATCTATCCTACCTATCCTATCTATCCTATCTAATCTATCTAATCTATCTATCTAATCTATCTATCTACTCTACCTAATCTACCTAATCTACCTAATCTACCTATCTATCCTATCTATCCTATCTATCCTATCTATCCTATCTATCCTATCTATCCTATCTATCCTATCGATCCTATCCTATCTATCTATCTTATCTATCCTATCTATCCTATCGATCCTATCGATCCTATCTATCCTATCTATCCTATCTATCCTATCTATCCTATCTATCCTATCTTTCCTATCTAATCTATCTAATCTATCTAATCAATCTAATCAATCTATCTAATCTATCTAATCTACCTAATCTACCTAATCTAACTATCTACCTATCTACCTATCTACCTATCTACCTATCTACCTATCTATCTATCTACCTATTCGACCTATCTATCTATATCTATCTATATCTATCTATATCTATCTATATCTATCTATATCTATCTATATCTATCTATATCTATCTATATCTATCTATATCTATCTATATCTATCTATATCTACCTATATCTATCTATATCCATCTATATCTATCTATATCTATCTATATCTATCTATATCTATATCTAATATCTATCTATATCTATCTCTATCTATCTATATCTATCTATATCTATCTATATCTATCTATATCTATCTATATCTATCTATATCTATCTATATCTATCTATATCTATCTATATCTATCTATATCTATCTACATCTATCTATCTGTATCTATCTCTATCTATCCATCCAATCCATCCCCCACCCACCCACCATCCATCCATCCTAAATCCATCGATCTATCCATATCCTTCTATCGTATCCCATATCCTAATCTCTCCTAATCTATCCTCCTCTAATCCTATCTATCCTATCTATCCTATCCTATCCCTACCTATCTATCTTCCTATCTAATCTATCTATCTAATCTATCTAATCTCATCGATCTAACTCTAACCTAAATCTAACCTAATCTACCTCATCTACCTAATCTACCTAATTCCGATCCTATCTATCCTATCTATCCTATCTATCCTATCTATCCTATCTATCCTAGCTATCCTATCTATCCTATCTATCCTATCTATCCTATCTATCCTATCTATCCTATCTATCCTATCTATCCTATCTATCCTATCTATCCTATCTATCCTATCTATCCTATCTATCCTATCTATCCTATCTATCCTATCTATCCTGATCTATCCTATCTATCCTATCTATCCTCATCTATTCCTATCTATCCTATCTATCCTATCTATCCTATCCTATCTATCTATCCTATCTATCCTATCTGTCCTATCTGTCCTATCTATCCTATCTATCCTATCTATCCTATCTATCCTATCTATCCTATCTAGCCTATCTAGCCTATCTATCCTATCTATCCTATCTATCCTATCTAGCCTATCTAGCCTATCTAGCCTATCTAGCCGCCTGTCTATCCCATCTATCCCATCTATCCTATCTATCCTATCTATCCTATCTATCCTATCTATCCTATCTATCCTATCTATCCTTTCTAATCTATCTAATCTATCTAATCTATCTAATCTGTCTAATCTATCTAATCTATCTAATCTATCTAATCTATCTAATCTAATCTATCTAATCTATCTAATCTATCTAATCTATCTAATCTATCTAATCTATCTAATCTATCTAATCTTTCTAATCTATCTAATCTATCTAATCTATCTAATCTATCTAATCTATCTAATCTATCTAATCTATCTAATCTATCTAATCTATCTAATCTATCTAATCTATCTAATCTATCTAATCTATCTAATCTATCTAAACTATCTAAACTATCTAATCTATCTAATCTATCTAAACTATCTAATCTATCTGATCTATCTAATCTATCTAATCTATCTAATCTATCTAAACTATTTTTCTCACCCATCTATCTAATCTATCTAAACTATTTTTCCCATCTATCTATCTATCCATCTATCTATCTATCTATCTATCTATCTATCTATCTATCTATCTATCTATCTATCTATCTATCTATCTATCTATCTCATCTATCTATCTATCTATCTATCTATCTATCTATCTATCTATCTATCTATCTATCTATCTATCTATCTATCTATCTATCTATTCTATCTATCTATCTATTTATCTATCTATCTATCTATCTATCTATTCTATCTTATCTATCCTATCTATCCTATCTATCCTATCTATCCTATCTATCCTATCTATCCTATCTATCCTATCTACCCTATCTATCCTATCCTATCCTATCCTATCCTATCTATCCTATCTATCCTATCTATCCTACCTATCCTACCTATCCTATCTATCCTATCTATCCTATCTATCCTATCTACCCTATCTATCCTATCTATCCTATCTATCCTATCTATCCTATCTATCCTATCTATCCTATCTATCCTATCTATCCTATCTATCCTATCTATCCTATCTATCCTATCTATCCTATCTATCCTATCTATCTGTCTATCTATCCTATCTATCTGTCTATCTATCTATTTGTCTATCTATCTATCTATCTATCTATCTGTCTATCTATCTATCTGTCTATCTATCTATCTGTCTATCTATCTATCTATCTTCCTATCCTATCCTATCCTATCCTATCCTATCTATCTATCTATCCTATCCTGTCCTATCCTATCCTATCCTATCCTATCTATCTGTCTATCTATCTATCTATCTATCTGTCTATCTAAAATATGTTAAAATTAGTTCAATTCGCATGTCGTTGTTCGATGTCGTTTGCATATTGTTTGCATCGGCCAGAGATGTTCGATGTCGTTTGCATATTGTTTTCACCAGTTGCTTCGGGGATCCCATCGGATCCAGGAAGATCCCAAGACGCAGCTCCCAAGACTCTGGAAGAAGATGAGCCAGAAGGTGCTCCGACGTAGACATAGACATCATAGACGCAGACGCAGCATGGATGGCAAGCGTGTTCACATGTGTTCATAGACTTTTCACATGTGTTCACTGAGAAAGCGACCTCCTACGGTCCTACATTTTAACTCCCTAGTTTTTGATCAGACGCAGCGCTGTCAAGCAGTTGAACGTTCTCATGGTTTAATCCACTGCATCGCCCCAGGCAGTTTTACGAGCATTATAAATTTCATATGATTTTGAGGCTGGCAACATTTACAGGTTAGTAAGGTAGACTCTGCAAGCCACAGCCGATCAATCCACTTCTGCAACGAGGCTAGAATGTCAGCGCTCTCTTTGGACTATGCTGCGCTTGGTGGCGGCATGTCCGGAGCTGCTGCTTTGTGCGCTTTGCTGGAGGTCAGGATAGGTCAGGATAGGTCCAGGTAACATCGGTCCCAGATGGTCCCAGATGGTCCCAGATGGTCCCAGACATTGCCTGGCGATTGGCAGCTGTTTAGCTGCCTGAGAGGTCATAGCAGCGGGAAGTGCGGCAACAGGCGAAGTGCCAAACTTGCCAGACCTCATCGTGAAGACGTTGCAGTCCAGTTGGAAGGAGGCCAGTTGCTGCTACCCGGCTACCCACTAGCAGTTGCTACCATTACCACGCAGGAACCTTTTGACTGCTGCTGCATCCGGCAGCATGCACAGGCAGTCGCCAAGAATGACTTTGATGCTGAGTTTTGCAACATCATCGTGAAGGAACATCCAGAATTGAAGGAGCTGCTTGAGAGTTCCCTTCTCAGAGGCCAAATGCCTTTCACATCAAAATGGAACTTATCATGCTACCGTGACTAATCCCTTCCTCCTAATACTAAACGTCCCCCTAATACTAAAAACAGGCATCCATCTCCAATTTCCGAAAATTTCAGTTTGGCCAATTTGACTTTTAATTGATCCCCTTTAAAAAACAATTCAAAAATCAACCTACCATTTGTGGGTTCTCCCCCCTAATACTAAAAACTAATTCACCCCGGGGTGTTTAGTATTAGGGGGGCCTAGTCCCAATCCCTCACTCCAAGCTGCCTAGCTACTCTAGCAATTAGGGGTAAGCTTCTAACTGCCATTTTTGGCAACATTTTAATTGCGTTATATAAGGAAATTTAATTGATTTTGAGATCGGAAAAAATAGTTTTTAGTATTAAGGGTTTTAATTTAGTATTAGGGGTAAGCTTCGAACTGCCATTTTTGGCAATATTTTAATTGCGTTATATAAAGAAATTTAATTGATCTTGAGATCGGAAAAAATAGTTTTTAGTATTAAGGGTTTTAATTTAGTATTAGGGGTAAGCTTCGAACTGCCATTTTTGGCAATATTTTAATTGCGTTATATAAGGAAATTTAATTGATTTTGAGATCGGAAAATAGTTTTTAGTATTAAGGGTTTTAATTTAGTATTAGGGGTAAGCTTCGAACTGCCATTTTTGGCAATATTTTAATTGCGTTATATAAGGAAATTTAATTGATTTGAGATCGGAAAAAATAGTTTTTAGTATTAAGGGTTTTAATTTAGTATTAGGGGTAAGCTTCGAACTGCCATTTTTGGCAATATTTTAATTGCGTTATATAAGGAAATTTAATTAATTAATTAACATGACTTCGATTTGGTTCCCTAATAATAAATACCCCCCTAATACTAAAAACTACCTGCCGTGTTTTGTATTGGGGGGGGTTTAGTATTAGGAGGAAGGGATTACTGTGGCGCCAATCCTGCAATATAGAGCCGATGGAGATTTGCCGAAGCTGAGTGATGTGACTAGGTCAAACTTTGACAACCGTTCCTTCTCACTCTGACTGCCTGACCGGGGACTGCTTCCATTTGCTTTCCATTTTTCAGCATTTTTGGCTTGCCGCAGGCCACAACATCATCAACATCATCGGCTATCTTGTGGAACTTCTGCAGGGCAAACGTATCCACCACTTTCAGAGAATCGCCCATGCTCTGGCAGTTGCTGGCCACATGGCTGGCCTCAGATTGCTTCACCTGGCAAGGGTCAAACATGCGTTGGTCGACATCATGACCAAAGTTGCGGAACAGCAGGGCTCGAACTCGCCACTTGAACGGCATCCAATTTGGGTGCGAATTGCAAAGGATTATCATCCATTCAAATTACAATAGTCATAAATCATACGTGTTTTCCCAATTGAAGCAGGGAAGATCCTCAAGCACTCCCTTGATTCATGTTTCACACCGTATTTTTAAAAAACTATTAAGTGAATATTCTATTGCAGCAATGTAGCCTAGCCAGAGCAAATGATTGCTTAACTTGCGCCCGCAAGGAAGGCCGTCAACCGGGCGTGGCATGCTTTCTTCTATGCCTTCGGAGCCGTGGCAGCGCCGTACCTAGTGACAGAAGACCGCCTTGAAGAGATCGCTGTCTCTCGGCAGCTGACTGGTTTACACACGTTTACACAATGGCTCCAAATGGCTCCAAATTTGATCCCATCCGATTCATCCGATATCTGAAGATATCTGAAGATAACAGGTCTAGCTGGAGGGCATTACTCACATTACTCCTTGCAGATCCTTGCAGCATTGTTTCTTCAATTTCCTCAGGATCCCAGGCCGAATCTTGCAGAGTAGACTTGAGGCCGCTACAGCTTCTGCATTACCAACTCCTGGCGGAGGGCCGCATGCTGCCATTGCTTCAGTTCATGGAACCGCTCTCCTGGAGATGTGTTTCTATGCTGATCTATGCTGGATGTTGTTCTGGATTTGGAGTTTGGTGACCTGTGATTCACGATGCTGAAGTCATCTGAATTCACCATAGTATAATTATAATATATATATAATTATCAGTGTATCATAGTCATAAGACATTGGGAAGATTTGGGAAGCATGTTTAAACCAGGCAACTCACTATTCTGATGCGGGCCGCAAGGCTTGCGCATTTCGAATCCAAAGGGTGACGCCATTCCTGCAGATTTACTGCCAAAACTGCGAGGCCATGATGGGGCCAATGGCTGTTACTCATCCGCCCAGCCATGTTCCACGTGAAGAGTTTTTGCCCCCGCCTAGCCACCAAGAGAATGAACAACACCACTTTAAAATACTTTAAAACCAGTGTATTAGTTGGCTTGGTCAGTTTGCATATGATCCATTTTGGCGTGCAAGTGTCCATGTTCCTTTCTTTCATTGCGCTGCCAGACAACAGTCGCAAATTGATCCAATGTGCACGAGATGATGCAAACGTCTACTGCGGTTTTTTAGCAGCAGTGTATGCAACAACCAGTGAGGACTGAGTCTGAGTCAAGAGCTGCATTTGCATGGTTGGTCATTATTATATAATCATATAAACTATATTATCATTATCATAATACATATATCTCTCTCTCTATATTGTATAGACTAGAGCAGTGTATGATAGAGCCTTTCTCAGCTTTCTCAGCGGTGCCATCTCTTGCAAGCCTGGCACAAACCAGATCGCTTCACTCCAGTAATGACATGGCTGTCCAGGACGACCTTGAGAGGCTCCGATGGCTGAAGAAAGCGACAGAGGTACCCGTGTCTGTAGCAGAGCTTGCGCTCAAAACAGGCCACTTGCACGAATCAAAAGGCACAAAGTGTGCCTTGAGATCTACTGTAGATATATGGGCATAATTGGGCATATGATATTGATATAGATTGAGTAGTGCTGTGCAACATGCTCGTTGGATGTCTTTGGTTTATTGGCTCTTGGGACGCTATTTCACAATGTACTCACTAGACCAAGTCATGCTGAGGCACAGCTTGTTTGCACAGCAAACGAGTTGTCAAGCAGAGCCCTGTCTGAAACCTGCGTGATGTGCCCAACAAGATCACCATTTTTTTTTCCTTGAATAGCAGCCTGCGGCGTTGTTTGTGAGCATTTCATATGCATTTCATTTTTGCACTGACTTGACGTGTTTACTTGTACTGGCTGCCATTCTGGAAACACAAGGAGCTTGAAGGGTGACTGGATTGCCGGGGCCAAGTTGCTGCGGACTGGACTTGAGATCTCTCTGAAGAATGTGTCGATCAACCTCCGCAGAAGCTAGGTTGAGAATTGAGAGGTTTCAGGAATCACATAATTTGAACTAATAATTTGAACTAACTCGATGATTTTGATGTTCTCAAGTTCTCAGCATTTCTGAGCAATCCAATCCCCGAAGTCACCAGGGACATGCCACTTTTTAGCGTGAACAGGTTTTTGCTGGTAGTTTTGTAGCTGCATCATATTCACTCAAACTATGATTATGCATTGGGTCGAGCTTCAAAAAGATTCAAAAGGAGGTGGGTTGAACATGTTGAGAAGGAATGAGAAGGAACTTGCTTTCAGATGGAGATTGCAGCCAAGACAAGCTCAGGTCTGGGGACCAATCGTTACAGTGAAATCAGTGATCGCTTAGCAAAGCTGCGAGAATTTGAGCCACCCTGGGAGGATCTCTTGGACATGATGTGATTATCAGGTGATCTCATGAGATTTCACCTGACTTTTCACAGCCGGGATCAAATCGTGATCTAGTTCAACGTCTGAGGAGGCTATCCAAAGTGATAGTATGGCTCCACCATGTCGGTTCCATTCATAGCTCCAAGTGATGTATCATGTAGATTCATGTAGGGGATGATGGCCGAAGTGGATGAGAACTTAAACATAGCGTGTCCCAGCGTGTGATTCAGATTGATTCAGATCCATTGGAGAATATTTGAGACTTGATTTGCTCATCCCTGGTTTGGTTCTCAAGTTCCTGAGAGCATTGATTTGATGCCTGACCCTTGACGTCCTTGACATTTTTCAATTGGTGCGGGCTAGAAAGACAGGGTCTCAGTAGGTGTCGGGCTCTTCTGCTTTGCAAGGGTGAGTGCAAAGGATCCTCCAGGCATCTAGAAGCCCATAGAAGCCCTATGAAGCCCTAGGGGTTAATCGGTTAATGTGAGTTGACAGGAGAGATGTGGGGATGCTGATGCCAGGTCTCAGCAACAGAAGCAGCGTTGGGATCTGCACTGCGAATGAAGGCACGTGAGACTCTGCGAGACGCTGATAGTCAATATGTGCGACATTTGTGCGACTATGTTCAATGAATCAACGTAGCAATGTCCCAAGTGGGAAATGTCCATGTGATGCCGGCAATGTGTGGACTTTCGGGTCATGATGCCGCGCCGCATCGGCAGGGTGATCTGGATGAAGCCATTGTGACATGGTTCGCAAAATTCACAGACACAGCCGACGCAGCTGAAGACTTTGGATTCTTTGAATTTTCCAAGCCTTGTATGATAGCCACCATTTCTGCATATTTTTACATGTGTCCCCTTCCGCATTTTCTGATTGAAAGTCCACAACATCCCCTTCATGTTGCCTTGCAACGTCAACAGATGGCGACCGTAGTTTTTTTTTTGTGAACATGTTGTCCCGAAGCCATGTGCCAGAGACGAAAATATGAAGCATGACGCATCCGTCTCAGGTTCTCCTGTCTGACTCCGGCAAGGCAATCTGTGAACATCTGGGCCACTCCCATCCGCAGGCGCTGTCAGCATATGTGGGCCAGCTGCCACTGCAGTGGGCTGGTTCAAAAGACCAGACAATTTGGGGGTTGCCAACGAAATATGAATTGAATATTATTGTGACAAGAAAGTATACTGCTAATATCTGCAAATGGCGGAGCAAAGATATTGAAGAAAGTGTTTGCAAAGACCTGGGTTGCTGCGATTGATGTAGTGTGGCGAGTGTGGTGTATGTGTGCCAACGCAAATGCCCTGTCCAGGCAATGCAATGCACGGGGAGCCTTGGCCTCGCATATGCAGCCAAGGGGGAGAAGAAGAAGGCACGTTGTTGGAACAGACATAGACAGGGGTCCTCAAAAAACGTCGTATAACAATAAAAGTTTTCCCGACTGTATAACCTGTATGCATCTGTATGCTGTATACAGATGTAATGTATACAGTTATATAATTACATCCAATTGATACCAATTATACAAGTATAATCAGTATAATAATGAACTCTTTTGATCTATTTTGAATTATTTTGACTATGTGGTGTACTGTGTGCTCTTTTTGGCCACCCCTATGTTGGAGGTGCAATGCTTCCGGCATCTGTCTGTTGGTCCAGACCACCTCTGACAGGCTGCAGAACTGCAAAAGCAGCTGAGCGCCCAGTTGCAACGGGTTTCTGCCAGGCAGCTCGCTGGAGTGCAACTTGGAGGAAAGAAATTAAAACCTTATGGCTATCTGCTGCTATCTGCTACTATGCCACTATGCTATGTCCCATGCTATATCCTTTGTATTCACTTGCAAGTCGCTGGTCCTTTATCGGGAGAGCATGAGAAGTCCATAGAAGTCCTCTTCACTCTAGCACTCACGGACATGCTGCATCTCACTGACCAGTTCAGGTACTCTGAAGTTGTCAAACTCGAGCTGCAGTTGCAGGACCAGCTTCCAACCATCAAGGCACTGACGCTTAAAGAGCACGTTGAAGTATTGGGGCGCATCCAGAGGTTTAAGATTCGAATACTTCTAGTCGGATTGACGGCAATTGTCTTGAAGACTAGAATGCCTTTGCGAGGTTCAGACATGTTCAGACGGTTTAATCCAAGATGGGTTGTAATTGTTGTTTGAAAACTTGTAGCTTCAGCAAGCACAGAACACCTATGAACAAACCATAACAAACCGCACGGCCTTCATCAGTTTTGAGGATTTTGAATGCCTTCCCTTGAAAGTACCCTAGGTCCGCCTTTGGCGGCTGTTGTGCTGCTGTGCTCGCTGCGGTTTCTGCCGCCGGCTGCCACTCATGTTACTCGCTGTGGAGTCGGGAGGGGGGAAGATTGCATCCAGGATGATTAATGGGTTGATCTGTGAGTTGATAAATGGGTTGAGTGGAGCAGGTTCGGTGCAGTCCGTGGTCACACCATGTTACACCCACATGTATGCACGCAAGGTTGTTGAGCTTGTCGTAGGTAGGAAAGACACCGAAAGTGTGTGAATTTATATGATCAATATTTTAGGGCCAGGAATGGGCTTTTGGCAATGCTGTTCTCGTCACAAAGTACCTTTATCCTTTGTCCCATCTTCTTCTCCTGCTCTGCAATAGTCGATGTCTCATTGCATGACATTGCATTTGTACATATTTGTACTGAGTGATTTTGTCCCAGACACTTTCTATCCGAGGCTTCAAACGCTTCTCCATCGAAAGCAGCATGAACTCTGATGAAAATACACTCCTGCATTCGCTGCGGCGCTGTTTGCCCGAGAAACTCCTGCACATGAAGAGTTTGACATAAAAACACACTGCCATTCAAAGTTTCTTTTGAAATTGTGTGCTTCTTGTTTTAAATCACCTTCTGAAATGGAGTGAAAGGGGTTGTCAGCCCTACAACGAATATAATGAATCCAATATGCAGCAGGCTGGCGATGGATTGATGAGAAAGATCACACAGATGAGAGAGCAGGGAACCCAGCTCAACGTTTCGTGGTACGAGATGTGAAAGACGGACCAGCTGGCTACCAAGCCAAGGCCAACTGATGCCAGATTTTGCTTGAAAATTGGAAGTGCAGGATGATCACTCAACATGTTTTTCATAAAATGTCCATACAATGCATAAAAAAAGATCATTGGGCCATATTGGGCCTTTGGGCGGGACTGCAGATGTTCTTTCGCAGCATTTGTTCCAGGGAAAACACGTTTCCTGAAGAGCTGATTGCTCCTTGGCCTGGCACTTAGCTGGTGTCAGGATGTGACAGGATGTGACAGGTGAGAAACGGTGAGGATCTGGAGGTTGCGAATTACACGGTAGTTGGGGCATGTTGCGGCTGCCAATTGTGCCGTTGTTTTGGATATTTCATGATATTTCATATCTGAATGCGGGGTTTTTGTTATGTTTTGTTGTACTGTACTGTACATTTGAATGTTGGAGGTTGAACATGCAATGTGTACAGCCCAAATCCATCCCAATCCAGCAGGAAAATGCAGGGACGCAGTCCAGGTGTCCATTCAGCTCACCCGTGCAACAGTCAGGCCGAACAACGTGCCTACAGCCACAGACTCAGCCTCTGTTTGCTTGTCTCCCAGGGTGTGGGGCTGGCTTCAAAGGGCAGTTGTGGGGCTGTAACCTGTAACCATGTCCGCTGTTTGTCGACATGGCATGCATTTCATCAGGGTGCTGAGTAATCAGCCGGTGTCTATAGTTACATGTCAGGCCATGTTCAAGCTGCTCTCCACAAGCGTGAAGCGGAAGGTGGGAATTAAGATGCTTTGGCTTTGACGCTCCAAGCGACCCCAAGGCCAAAGTGTTTTCGGACATGGTGCAGGTTGCTGCATCTATAGCAGTGCATCCGCCAAAGTCATGGGCCAAGCATTGCGAAGCGTTGGTGAAACTTTGCCAAGTTCATGACCGAGCCCAATGCAGAAGTGGCCAAACGAAATGAACATGTCTTTGATCGCAATTTTTGGAATAAGCGAGTGCTAACTTGAAGTTATGTCAGATTCCGGTTCTCCGATTTAGGAAACTGCAGCATACTTTTTTATACTTTTTTGCTGTTCACCCAGCCGTCAACCAGTTATCACAGTCATCACAGTCATCACAGGTCATCACTCACTTGTATCATTTTGATTCATCTTGTATGAAACTTTCAGGTATTACGCGCTGATCATGTTCCTGGCAGAGTGGTTGAGATGTCCAGCGGCTTACAAGGCTCCCTGTCTGGGACAAATCCAATCCGCCAGTGCATTTGTTGATGGATTTTTGCAATGCAGGCGATGAACATTTACGTGGTTTTCCAGTACAAAGAGGACACGAGTCAATGCGATAACTTAAGCTAAAACTATAGAATTACGTGTTTGATATAGTGTTTTGCCTGGGCAGTGTGGTGCTAACAAACAATCTTGCACCGGTTTGCACAGCAACATTATGTTTGGGAGGACTTGGACTTGTTTCGAGAAGCCGTGGATTGCATAAGTTCTGACCCCGGACTTCCAAACTTTGGCTGCTGAAGGGCTTCTTCCTTTTTCATCCTTTTTCGATGCTGAGTTCCGGGAACACCGGAGCTGTGGGTCCCCGTGGTGGCCAATGCGCCCAAGAAGGGATGGTCGGGCCCGAAGATTTTGCATTGCCGCTCGTAATTGCATGTATGTAACGTATATATATGAATTGTATGTGATGCATTATGATATGATATGATATATGTATGATTAATTATAATATATTATGTATATGTAGTTGCCTCTGTGAAGATCATCAATCTAGGAGCGATGTGTTTGCTGCTTTCTATCCGCATTCAACCTGACCTCAGCCTGTGTCAACCTAACTGTGCAGATGGATGCAGATGGTACAGTTCTGGACTGTTCACGGTCGTTATGATTTGTTCTGATACCCTAGTAAGATTATACAACATCATATGTAATGTAAGATCCTAGCACAAAGAACAGTCATGATCCAAACTCATGTAAGTCGAGTCAATGTTGAGTGAAAGTGAAAAAAACTATGAACACGTGATGATACAGTACCGCCTCACAAATCTCTACAACTTCTGACAGTGAAACCATGGCGGCTCCGGCGTGATCCGGGGTCCTGGCGTCAGACTCAGGCCTAAAGCGTATTCAATGGGCAACCAGTGTCCCGGACGATTACAATCTCCGAGCTTGGCGGGTTTGGGTATTTGAGGGGGGCATTCCCGGGCATCTCAAAGAACATGTCCAATTTCTACCGCATGCTGTGGTTGCAAGTGCAATCGAGTAGTTACATGATTTTGCATGTCAACTTTTCAGTTGATGAGTGCTGTGTCATTGTGTTGCCAAAGATTTCTGGGAGAGGACTGAAGCTGCCAACAGGTACATAGCAGCTTACAAGAAGTACTATGGTCCCGCAGCGCTGTGTTGCTGACAGTAGCCTTGGCATTGTGTAGTTTCGCTATGCTTGATTGGCAGGGGAACTGCAAGCAATGACTTGCCGGGGAGGTAGAGTTGAAGCCACAAAATTGAAGACATCACATTGGATTGCTTCCGATCAGTATAGTATGTTTGAAGATGGTTTACCTTTAAACTTGAACAGTTTTGAATTGTTTTTGTTTGGAGCTAGCTTTCGAGTGTTTGGACGTGCCCAACAGCAATGGCTCAAGTAGAGCCGATAGGTCCGGGTAGGTGAGACTGTGCCATGGAGGGCACAAATCCTACAGATGGCAGTGAAGCTTTCGCCACTCGAAGAATATCCGCTGAGTAAACCTCGGAAGAGTCATTTTGTGAATGGAAAAACCAGAAACTGCAGACAAAGATGACAAAGGTGACAAATATGACAAAAGCATGCAGGACCAAATTTCTGGCCTTACATATATACATACACACACATTTATATGTATATATATATATCGAATCACCTTGGTTGTTGTTCATTCAATCTGTGGGGATTTTCGCTCAGGTCACCTATGGCCGTGGCTTGCTGAAGATCTTCAACACAGGGAAGAACTTCGGATTTATTTCGCCAGTCTTCAAAGGTGAAGACCATGAAGGTCCACCACTCCCTTCCTCAGTTGACGAAGGCTTGGCTCTTGTTGAACGTGTTGAAGCATTGATTAGAAATGAGTCGTATCGAAATAGTCTGTAATAAGTTGAATTTCGAACTTGTTTTTCCCTCTCCTCCATTGTATCACACAAACAATCAGCACTCACTCCTTCATTGAGGAGCCAATGTATTGTTTTGCCAGGCATTTGGTTTTTTGGGAACCATTCACTACCTATGCGCGCGAGTTTGGGGGTTGAACTCACCTTCGAGATCTGGGAGAACTCACAGGCCAGGGTCAAATAAGTGAATTGGTGCTGACTCTTTGGATCTGCCTTTAAAATCGTAAAAAGCTGCAGAATCTGCAGAGCAAGCCAAAATGATTATGTAGATATTATATATTTATAAATGCATGATTCAAAGCATCAGCCTTGACCCTCCCAATCCATGGTAGTGAGCATTGCTCAAAGCAAAAACGCTAGATTTCCCGCAGATTTGGATTTTGCATATTTTGCCGAGGGTTTGAAGCTGTTTGAAACTGTTTGAAATGTCGTGCCTCAGGGGAAGGCACAAGCGAGGAGTGTCCAGGTGACCTCAGAACCAAGCGCAGTTGTGCCAGTGGAGCAGAAGCAGGAAGCCATGGGGAAGCCAGACATGGACACGGGCGGACACAGCACTTGCAGAGTGCCTCAAGGTGTTTCCTGAGGTATTGCTGGATGCTATGATTATCAAATCTTATCAAAGTAGAGGGGGTATAAACCATTCAGTTATAAAGCAGCTGTCACGCATGTGCCAGTTTTTGACGATAACCATAAGCCACAAGCAAAATGCAGTCATCAAGGGAGTTCGACATTGTCAACAAGTCCACAACAATGCTTTTGCATGTGCGTGCGTGGCTTGCACAGGCTCGCAGTGTACAGCAAGTAGGTATGAAAAGGAAACTATTGAACTAGTGTGCATAGGCAAGCAATTCATAGCACTTCGTTGCTCGAACTAGAACCCATGGGAGTCCTAGAGATTGACAACAAGTGAGACATTGAGATAGAAATAGAATGAAATTGAATAATTGTATCTTTACCGAGCAGTTTGATGCACTTTGATCCGTGTCCCTTGGATTCCCTTGGATTCCCTTGGTGAATTGTTGCCAATCCTCAGGAGGTCCAGCACCAGGTCCAGCACCAACATTCGAAGCGAAACCAGAATCTCCACCCCAACGAGCCCAGAGTTATCTATCCCTCCGTGTATGTGTCGGACGTTCCTGTTGAATGGAACGAGGCCAGACTTGCAGCCGCAATGCCGTCAAAACAAATTCAGGAAAAATCGCAGGATATGTGAGTTGTCACTATAAATATTGCATACTGATGCACAATGATACACATTGTCAAGTAACTTAAGTATTTCATTTAGATTATAGGTTTGTTTTTTTGGTTGCAACCCACCTGAAGCATCCTGAAGCTTTCAATGGCTCTCGAATCCCGGCAGCCACGGTTTTCAGTCGGTCGAATCTGTCAAGCTTAGGCTGCCATCCGCAAGCTGCATCGGCAGCTAGGGCTGAATCCAGACATCATCATGGGTTTGAAGTTCTTGCCTTTCACAGAAGTCTCCTTAGGCGGCAGCTGGTTGGCGCTTTGAAGCAATGTTTGCAAGATGTTGCAAGTAAAAGTCAGCAAAAGTACATTTAAAAGTACCATTTGATCTATTTTGTTCATGTTTATCATTTAATTTATGCATTTTCAATGCCCATTGTTGCAGACTCATTGGTATTCTGTCAGAATGAACAGCCTTCCAAAATCTGACCTTGGCAGGTTTGGCTGGCACCAAAGGAGAGAAGCAGGCGACTCCAGTGACGGGCTCTGTGATTTTGCGTTACGTGAATGAGGAGGCTGCGAACGCCGCCGTGGAGCGGCTGAAAGGCCATCCGATTCAGACCTCTTCCGGAGTCACGAAGCACTTGGGCGCCAAGCATGCGACACCGCCGAAATGGGTGGTACAGAGGAAAGCGCAAGAAGACGAGGCAAGACTTGGATACCTGAGATGCCGGAGACGGAGACATCCTGACTCTTTTTCTCTCTTTTTCTTGAATATGTTGAACCGTTGAACCGTTGAACCATTAGGTGTACGGTACGTTCAAAACTCTGGTAGACCACTTTAATTACTATAGGGAGTGCTCACTTTGTGTTTGGAAGGTGCACCAAACACTGCGTAGCGATAGGCCCCATCCAACAGCATTACCTATTGAACAATTGTGCAGAATGTTCACATCTGGAGTTGTGTTACACAAAGTTGCGTACATGCAAGAGGCAAAATTAAAGAGACCCCGGGCCCTAGCGATACCCTAGCAATACATAGCAATACCCTTTGATCCCATTTGTTAGAGAAGTAGTCTCAGACCAGAGATTGACCCTTTCCTATCCTTTCCTTTTCCTTTCCTCCTATCCTCATCCTTTCCTCTCCTCTTCCTCTGCCCTACAAAGATTTGTTCCTCTATCTTCATACATACAAAACCATGTGTAGCGATAGGCCCCAAACAAAAACGTGTGTGTGTGTGTTTTAATAAGCAATGCGAAGACAAGTAGTTTTGACATGTTTTGACTGCAGCTCATTTGATGTTCAGAATTGTTTGGCCATGACATCAATGTGAGTGTGGGCAGCGTTTCCAACTGTGCGCAGGCCAAAAAGGTCACAGGTCATCACATCTTCGACAAGTCACATGGGCAGAAGCTCAAGACCTCCGAGGGCCAGAGCCAAAAGGTCTCTGGCATCGTGCACAGAGTTTCTATGGCTGGCTACGGCGTGATCAAATCCCCCGAATGGGGAGAAATCCTGTGGCGGCAATTCGAGCTTCCGACGAATCTGCGATGTTTGCAATTCACGGACCGTGCCAAGTTTATCGGACAAGTAGAGCACAGAGAAGAGTACCGGCGCCTCAAGGACAGCTGATACTTGAGAGATCTTGAGAGCTGTAGCAGCCAGGTAGAGAGTGACTTGTTATTGTTTCATGATAGCCAACCAGAATACGGAACTTGTTTTGCCATCGTAGCAGACAGGCACATATGTTGCCTTTTTGCACAGGGACTAAACATGACATTGACATGCATTATGTAAAATGCAAACGAATGTTTACAGACATTTCACAAAAGAATTAGGCACAGGGCAGACATTTGCAATGCAATGGCAGCCGGTTCGGTTGTAATGAAAGAAATTGATATATCCAGACAACTCCAGCACACAGTTTGCCAAAGGCATAGGCATAGAGCAGTTTTTCTTTGAAGCAAGTCTTGCGCCGAGAAGCGTGAAACATGTGAAACCTTCTCTCCCTTTCCAGGACATGGTAGGAAAGCAGGTAGATGCTGAACTCTACAAATTGCCCGATGGACAGCTTCGAGCCTCACATGTTCGAGTCTCACGTCCGGTGTTGGAAAATGTGGATGACGAGGGCATGCCAGCGCTTGAAGGCCAAGCTGATGAGGACCCGGAGCCATAGAACAGCCTGGGCCTTGTCCTGACAGTGCATGGCAAATGAATATACATACACACATGCATATTATGTATATAATAATATATAATATATATATATATATCCATATATACATAATTACATAATCGGTATATGTAAATATGATGTGGGGCAGATGACGCTAGCAGCCGCTAGCACCAGAGTGCTTGGAGGATTCAGATTGTCTCCGTTTTATATGTATATATATATATTATTCAGAAGGAATCAGTTTGACAGTTCACACATTTGGATAGCCAAAGCTGCATCTCCGATCTTGACAATGGCCAGGAGCCACCAAGCTTCCCTCCCGTTGGCATGATGCCCTTTGGCCCTGGCATGCCGCCATTTATGGATCCATCCTTTGCGATGATGGGAATGCCACCACCCTGGGCCATGGGCAGCTTGGCTGCGACTGCAGCGGCCCACAATTTGTCCCCGAAAGCTTTGGGTTGTCCATGGTTGTCCCTTTCCCCGCTGTCATGTTTGATCCTGTCTCAACACTGAGTTACAGATTAAGAATGTGTAATAAGACAGATTGACGCAGAATTGCTTAATGTTTCTGTGCAACCAGGTGTCGCATAAACTGCATGAAAAGTACAAAATCTTTGGGATAGGACATGGCCATTGCAGCTGGTGGTTTTGCAATTTTGCCTGCCTGCCTCACTCGTAGACGCACGCCTCCAAGTGGCTAACAGAGCCGCCCTTGTAAGGAAGAAAGGAAAAGAAAAAGGACAAGAAAGATAAAAAGGACCTGGCAATGGCAGCAATGGGTGTAAGTTGGGAAATTAACACTGCAGACTGGAATTGCAGATTATTACAGATTGACAAGGTTCACCTTCAGACAATCATGATTGATCATGATTGTGGGAAGGAGAAGAAGGAAAAGAAAAAGAAGAAGGAAAAAGCCGGCTCTGGCGAGGATGCGAGGCCAAAGAAAAGGAAGATTGACGATGATGACTTCTAGACCTGGTCGCGCTGTGGAATTGAGCCAGAGTCAAAAAAGTGCAACGTGGGAGCCTGCAAGACTTATGACATCTCATTGTGGCCGAATCATTTTCTGATATGTCCTCATACTGTATATGTCCTCATATATGTCCTACCATGTTCTACCAAATTGAACTGTTCGGGCATTGTGGGCATCACTGCAGTCGATGTTTTGGCGAGCCCGCACAGTGCAGAACAGCTGTGGGAATTCTCCGCCAGGTCTGGCGGCGATGATGGATATTGGGAAAGAGGACCGGCAGTTGTTTAAGCCTTGTAAACATGAAATCGCTTCTACTAATCCTTTATTACTAAACCCCCCCCATAATAAAAACTAGGTTCCATCTCCAATTTTGGAAAATTTCAGGTTCGCAAATTTGACTTTTAATTGATTCCCTTTAGAACACAATTTCAAAATAAAGCTATTATTTATGGGTTTCACCCCCTAATCATAAAAACTAGTCAACCCCGGGGTGTTTTTTATTAGGGTCCGTCCGAAAATTTTAGTTTTTATATAAGGGTCTTTAATTTAATATCAGGGGCAAGCTTCGAAATCCAATTTTTGGCAATATTTTAATTTCGTGATAAAAGGAAATTTAATTGATGTTGAAATCGAAAAAAGTTTTTTTTTAAATTAAGGGTTTAGATTTACTATTCGGGGCAAGCTTCGAAATCATTTTTGGCAATATTTTAATTGCGTTATAAATGGACATTTAATTGATTATGAAATCGAAACAAATAGTATTTTATATTAAGGGTTTAAATTTATTATGAGGGTTCGCTTCAAAATCCAATTTTTGGCAATATTTCAATTGCGTTATAAAAGGAAATTTAATTGATTTTGAAATCGAAAAAAATAGTTTTTTTTAATTAAGGGTTTAGATTTACTATTCGGGGCAAGCTTCGAAATCATTTTTGGCAATATTTTAATTGCGTTATAAAAGGACATTTAATTGATTTTGAAATCGAAACAAATAGTATTTTATATTAAGGGTTTAAATTTATTATGAGGGTCCGCTTCGAAATCCAATTTTTGGCAACAATTCAATTGCGTTACAAAGGAAATTTAATTGATTTTGAAACCGAAAAAAAAAATATTAAGGGTTTTGATTTATTATTAGTGACCGCTTTGGTTCCCTAATAATAAATACCCCTATAACAATAAAAACTACCTGAGGTGTTTATTATTTGGGGAGGGGGGGTTAGTATTAGGGGGAGAGGATTAATGCCATTTGCTGCCCAAATTTAAGTGTCTTATTTTTCTTGAGGCTTCGGTGTGTTCTCCTTTCATCCAAAAGGTTGTTGCTCTGTTATAACTCTTATGCTTTGTCATGCAGGAGTACGGCTTGATGATGGACTCAGAGATAGGAATCTATGCGATGCGTGCTGAGGCACATTCAGGCTCATGTACAGGATTACAGGTGTGTCAAGAAAGGTTCAAAGATGCAATAGGAATCATTCAGAATATGATGGAAAGCTGCTTTGTTATATAAGCTTTGTATTGGAAGCGTTTCTGGATTTTCCCTAAGCTTTGCCTGACCGAAGGCGTGACATAGCATGACATAGCATGACATAGCATGACATAGCAAAAATCGAAGTCAGGAACTACAAGGACCCAATTCTAAGCCATATGTAGCCCTCCATCTCACCTCAAAACCATTGCATTTTGTAGCTAGTGCCTTGATGCCTTGAAGTTTCTTTGAATGACCCCAATGGCGCTTATCCAGTCGCTTATGTTGCTTGAGACAGAAGGTCACACAAACCCCCCCAATTTGCAATGGTCCTGGGAGGGAGATCTGTTATGACCTGTTGATATTTAGTGAATCTACTCTTTCCATATTTGCGCTCTTATGTATATAATTATATTGTATGAAATATTAGACAGAGAGAGAGAGAGAGAAAGTCATTTGTTTGTACGTGTATGTGTTTAATTTGTTGGTGAGCGCTCAGCATTTGGCAAAGGCTTCCTCAGATGAAGCCTGCGGTGCTGATGGCACGTGGTCCAAGCTCCTTGGCCCAACGAGTTCAGTTAATGACCTGGTGATATATGGTAATATGAGAGAACTCGGAGTCATCCCAACTCACCTGGGCAGAACTGCAGTTTAGTGATTAGTGCAGTTTAGAACCAATTCGTAGGAAAATTCGTGGAATAGAGAGATGGCGAACCTGAGACATCCGAAGCCTCCACACATCCCAGGCTCTTGAACCGGATCCAAGCCTTTGAGAGACGGAAGGCCCAGATAGCGCAAAGCAGACTTCATCGCTGCAGGACTTTCACAGGACGTAGGTCAGGTCTTTAAGTGTCAAATCATGGGTCGCAGGTCAAGCCTACGCTTTATGAACAAGATTCAAGTTTGATTTCAAAGCATGGTGGCAAAAGGGAGGGGCATTGACAAGAATGCAGGGTTAACAATGGTCCAAGCTCAATGCTGCTGAGATTTGATAGGTTTGGCCTGGGGCAAGGGTCTCGCCAACATTGACTACGTACGACTTTGGAAGTTTCGTTGGCCCGGCATGTTGCAACGCGTGACAGCTCATGACTTTGCGCACAAAGATACCCGAAGCACACACAAATAACAGACAGCATGTAGAAGGAGGATGAGTCAAGACAGTGTGTTTTTTTCATTTTTCATCCGCAGTATGCATTGTCCATGGGCTTGTTTGATTTTGTTATTGCGCACTTGCTTTCTCATGCCACCCTGGGCTATCTATGACACTGTGTGGTCACGTTGGCATCTAGGCTGCTATCACACACCAGCCCAAGATTTGCCAAAGGCGTGTCAGGCACATTCTGTGCCGCACAGGGGGTCATGCTTCAGCCATGTTCCTCTGTTGCCGTGAGCAGAGGGCGCCAGAATCCGAATTGGTGGGGCTTTCTCTTGATGCAAAGGCCGCGAAGGCTAAAGCGACGAGACATGGCCAAGACGGGCATGGCACTGGTTTGGTTCACCTCCCGGCATCATTCGAAGTGGATGGTACTGCACCCCTGCGTGAGCCGCCTTTAAAAAGTGGAGCAGTTTGGTTCCTGCAAACAAAGCACTACGAGGGACCTTTGCAGGATGTTTCCAAAGTTACCCTGTCCATACACCTCAACGGCATGCGCATCCGGTATTCCAACAATGACAAGGCAACTAGATCTTTGGCTTGGTCTCCTTTCGCAGTTGTTCAGGCAAACCGTTTCCACAACAAAAAGAGTGATGAATTGTGGCCTCAGTTGCGACTCTTCAAAGTCTCCGACTTTCAAAATGGTGTGTCGTGTTTATTTTTGGTAAATGGTCGGAGCGGTGAGGAAGCCCTCCATGACAGAGCGGAATGGGTTGCCACTGCATCCTCTGCAATTCGCATGCTGACTCTGTCTCTTTTTCCTGTGTTCAATGTTCAGACAATGCCAAACAATTTCCAATGGACACAGACGCGCGTGTTGGCTGGGCACATGCTGCTATTTGACCTCAAAGGTGTCACGCCCGTCTTCTGTGAGCTTCATGCACCAGTGGACTACACGACAAGTCTCATGGCGTATGAAGACGACACCTGCACGTGTTTGTTGGCAAATTTGATCATTGATCCAGACACCAAAATCGTAGAACGCCTGGGTGTTGACAGTAGTTGTTTCACATTGAATGAGCATCACTTCGCTGCCAGAACGGTGGCAGAAAAAACTCTTTGGATCCGGGCCATTAGCAACATCAAAGTGAAGTTGCGACACGCCTTGTTGCCCACAAGTGACCTGGAACTGAAGTGCTACCGCAACGCTGTGGAGGAGCAGATTGCCTACTTGCCATCTCCAAGGCTGCCAGCAATGCTGACAGAAGAAGCGCCTTTGTTGAAGAGACGGGCCCAGCCCTGTCAAACGACAAATCCGGCGAACCCGGGGCTTCACGCACCTCGCACACCTAGTGCCGCCTCGGAGAATTCGTCGGAAGGCCCTTTTACACCACCTGCAAGTGCCAAAGTTGCAGTCGCAGTGTGAAGCAATGTGAAGCAATGTGAAGCAACTCGCAAAACACAAGGAAGTGCCAGGACAAAACAGCTGGAAGACAGTTTGTAAATGTTTGTACTCAAATGCAGTTATTGGTCGCAGTTGAGGGATGTTGCGGGCCACATGGAAAACTGTTTAGAAGATGCTAGACCTCCCTGCAGATTGCACACTTTTGATGTGCTTGTTTATGTGTTTTCATACGAACGTTACCCGCCAGAAGAAGTCTGGCAGAGACTACGACCTGCATCTCCTGAGGTTTGGTCCCACCAAAGAGCTTGAGCCATGTTTCGATATGTTTTGACAATAACTGTGATATCAATCTTTTGAGATCTTGTAAGATCTAAGATCTTTTGAGTAACTACGATGTAGTTCAATCAAGCCATTGCAGAGCAGCTCCGCTGAAGCAAATGTCAACCATGTTTGACAATGTTTGACAGCAGGGAAAATGCCCGCTATCTTGTGGAGAAGGCCTGTTGCATTCTGTTGCCTTGAGATGTTGCAATGACTTCGAGGAGCTAAGTAAACAGGACAGGCGGTCGTCAGCAAACTCGGCAGCTATGCGTTTCTGAAGTTGTCACAGCTGGAATCGCAAATATTAACAGACATCAAGAGACTATGCTATTTGAAAGTGATTGGAAGTCTGGATGGTCTCTAAATTTCTCCATGCATGTACATGTGATGTTGATTGTGTTTTTGCTTGATTCATGTTTTATTCAAGTCATATTATATATATATTATATATATATGTGTGTGTGAGATGAAAATGCAAATGCTACAACAGGCATCAAAACGCACATTCAGATTCAACCGGTCCTTAGCGTTGGATGTGCGGATTGAAATTCACCGCCAGGGAAGGTGCCAGCCAGAACAGCCTTGCCAGAAGGCAAGGTTTTTCGGGATGATTTCTTTAAAGTCGACCGGATGATTTCTTGAAGCCCAACCTAGACTTCCAGGTGGCAACACAAGTTTCATAAGTTTCATGTCCTTTCTCTGAGTCTCAAGAGATCTCAAGAGATCCCAAGAGTCAAGTCATCTTGGTTTGCGAGGTGGAGAACCAGCTGAAGAAGGTGATTTGGACCTGGTGGACAGAGTTGCCTATCGTTCGTCTAGAAGTCTGGATGCCAAGTGCCAGGAATCAGAATGAGATCAGAATGAGATGGAAGGATGGGAAGGAAATCAAGTGAGCCCACTTTCTCTTTGGATCTCTCTGGTTAGTTTGTTTGCACAGCGCCTGAGGTGGCGAAGAGGAGGGGCATGAGGGGCATGATTGACATGATTGACATGAATGTTGGAGTACGGCTATGCAAATTGGATTTTTGGGTCATTGCTTTCAGCCTAAAATGTCAGTCTCATCTTATCTAATCTTATTCATTCTTTGCAGTCAAGGTTTGCAAGAGTCGGTGTGCGTGCATTCTTTGCAAGTGTGTGCATTTCGGCATTCTTCAGGATGATGGTTCAGTTGAGCAGACAGAGTGGACCTGGACCAATCAGTTGGAGGTTGGGCTCAAACAATCGCTGTCAGTTCTTGAGCGTGTCAGTAAAGTTTTTAGGAGGTTAGCCAGGTTAGCCTCGCTCGGTTAACCACACCACTGAAGTGTGGCATCAAATCAGTTGCGATCGGCCTGGCCAGATTTCCGTTGCAGAAAACCTTTCGTACATTTATATTTGTGTGTGTGTGTGTTGCACTTGGCATGCCGCTTGTAAATCTTGTGACCAGGGCAGTGACGCAAAACATCTTCTTCCCTCGGTTTGAGCACGTTGTTTACCAGCCTCTTGGCCCAGTTAGCCCCTTGCGAAAGATGTTTAAGCAATGTACGAGTTGAATAGATAGTGCATAGATGCAGAAAGGTTTATCAAGAGTTCTACACACTGAGGTGACTTCAACCTTGGACTGATCAACCATCTTTCTGAACACATGTTGGAACCTGCCGAGTAACTCCTGTCATGTAGCATCACAGCACGCTGGCCTGAATATGTTCAACCAACACCGGATGTAGATTGCTGATAGGTCTGATAGGTGCTCATGATTCTGCAAGGAGCCAGCACGTACAGAGAAGCACTTTACCACCTGTTGAGTTGAGCAAGTAGGGGGACTATTTTTGGAGGAAGGCTGGCATGTGTTTATTCTCCAACATTCCGGCATTGGGAGACCCGGTGTATGGGACCAGTTGCACTTCATGCAAATATACCAAATCGATTCCAAATCGCATCAAATTGCCAAGTCGTGGGTAGATAGTTCGTGCTCCTGTAGTTTGGATCATGATCTGTTTTTTTGGGGCGGCGCCTGGAGAAGTATAATAGATGTCTACGTTCAACTGGGGACACTGTGCGATTAGACTTCCATCATAGGCCATAGCTGACATGGATTTTGCCATTTCTGAAGCACCTCAGGATGTGGTGTATGCTTTATGAGGGCACCGGTGCCCAGCTTTGGGCAGGACAAAGGTGGTGTTTTGACCAGTCAGACATTCAGTCTTTTCATGTCTTTACTATCTGAATTCCGTCGGTTGGGCGAACGGGCTAGAATACAGACAGCCAGGTCAATGGAGAGGCGTAATTAATACATAGAGTAGTTATACGGTAGTATGCCCTACGGTATAGCTTTATTTTCAGAAATTAGGATAGTGCTTGAATGGGGGAAGAAAACCATTGATGATTCCGTGAACTTGCTGCGGGGCGCACAGCCACACGAAATGTAGCCACCATGGAAGGCATACTTCCGGATTTGCCATCCCTCTCCAACGTGATAGTAAATATTTTCCATGCTTCCAAGGCTGCTGAAAAGCAAGCCCGGCCTGATACGGGCTTATATTTCTATATATTTCTTACTATGGCATGCATGCCCTTGCCAGAGAGCCTGGCATATAGGCCGATAGGTCATCGCATGTCATTGCATATTGAATGCCTGTGGTTTCAGGCTGGGACATCCAAGATGTCACCAATATCACTCTTGAAGCAAAGTGGGGTTCATACCTGGAGGTGCGGGTGCCCATGGGCGCCAGATCCACGCTTTGACAAACCAGTCATGAAGATTCTGTTACGGCTGTATCCTCCTTGGTGTCCAGGCATCAGCGTTGCCCCACAAATGGCGTGCATCATTTTATATCATATATTATCATATCAGATGCTTTCCAAGCTTCAGATAGCTTCAGCGTATGTCCAGGGTCTAGGCACAAGGACGAGAAAGTCACAGCATAGTCACAGCTGTCATTGTCTATGTAACGTAGTGGCTCCAGGATCCACAAGAGAATTCGGAGCTTGCAAAGCTTCAACCAATGTGGGTCAAGACCCTGGATTAAGCTGCGATGTAAAACTGAGACAGTTCAGATGTACATTGTGCGACATGTCAATAAGAAAAGGTTGCATCAGAAACCATGCTGGTTGCATCTGGTTGCAAAATATGGATGCAGAATGAGCAGGAATGTATTGTGTACAGCACACTTGTTTGGGCTTGACCCGCAGTGCAGCCTAAAGCGTGAAGACAGCAAGGAGCTCCTGCACAGAGAACATGCAAACAGGGTGGCCTGGTAGTCCCAATTCTTTGAACTGCCTTTGGCAACGCACAAGAATGGCCAACCAAAAATCAAAATCGATGTCGCTACCGCATTCCTGACAGTGTTTCTGTGCTGTTCAATCCTGCTCATACGTACACTGCCCAATTTGAACTGTCCATCAGGTTACTTCAGAGTGAATCTAGCACGCGCACCCATTCTCATAGGAAGAAGATGCAAAAATGTAGGTGGCTGTGTGGCCCTGCCTTTTAAGACTCTCCCTGTGACACAGTTGACCAGATCTCTAGATTGACTCAATGTGAGCTGAGGTTTCCTCGGAGGCATTGAGCAAAGCTCAATCAGCGCCTCGGTTGCAGAAGTTTGCACTTGCAGTCAGTGGTTGCTCATTTTGCAATATGCTGGAAAGTCAAAGCACGCTTGCACAACTAGTAATGCAAGAAAAGGATAGATATTTACAGTCCCTTACAGTGCTGTTTGCAGACTCGAGATTCTCACTTGAGTTTGCAAAGCACTTGAAGAACTGGATGGAAGAGGAGCTTGCAGCAAAAACCTCTACAAAAGTCTCAGCAAAAAGTAGGAGAGCAACTCACAAAATTGAGTTTTGCCAGTGCACAGGGGAAGATCATGGCTCTCTCCAAAGAGGCTTTCCGTGCTTTGGGTTGCTGGGACCGTGCTTAAGGCTCAAGTTGGCACTTCTGCTGTCAGGAAGATTCACAAGCCATGACTTGGCCATGACAAGAAAAAAGGAACTCATTGAGATGGCAGTGACACTGCGTTGCATTGTTGGTCGTCCTAATTCGGTCTTATTTATGGAATTACACCATTTGGAGATGCAATGATGAACAACGGTGGAGCATCAAATATATTCAAACATCATTAAAAAAATGATTTTCATATTGAGTAATGTTTCCTCAGTCCATTCCCTTCACGCCCAGGAGCCGCCGCTCATTCTCTTCCACGTTGATATGCTGGACCTAAGGCGGCTGTGATTCGACTACGGGCGATTGAGCTTGATGATTGGGCCTGATATATAATTGTTCCGAATTAACCAGCAACATCCAGCAAACAAAATAGAGCACGCATGTGCAGGCCCATTCTGAGTACACAAAGACATTTCCGACGAATGGGAAGAGTCAGAGTCAAACTCGAATTAAGCGATTGCCAAGTGTTGCTTGACACTCAGAAGCTTTCAGGTACAGTGCGGGCGGACATGATTACAAAGGCCCAGCTTGCCTGGCCACTTGTTTTTTGTGCACGGTGAATCTGATCGCCTCAGACGGCTATACGTGTGGGTTTGTCATGGTTTGTCAACGATTTTCCAACCTTGGGAGAAAACTCTCGTGGATTGAGAGGTGGGGAGGCAGTTGAGTGTTTTGGTCCGTCTGTTTGCATTTTCAAGATTCTGCGAAAGAGTTTCGCCATTTGATTTAGTAGTTTAGTTTAGCATAGATTAGCATAGATTAGCTGTAAAACCGACACAAACTAGCTATTTGAACTTGTTGTTTGCCAGTACTGTGGGAAGATTTGGTGCTGGCGCTCCTCAAGCTGCACAACAGGCCAGGTCCAGCTCAGTTGCAGTGCGGCTTTGATCTCTGGACGTCCTGGCATATTTGGCATATTTGGCATGTTCTTGTCCGCCCACAAGCAGGCTCAAAGTGGAAAATGTACTTACAATGTTTGCGGTCCCACGAATGTGCTAGGACCGCTAGGATCGATGGAACAGGTAGGACACATATTGAGACCGCAACTTCTAAAGCTTCAGGCTCGCACACTGCCAGCCTGTGTTGCAAAATGTACTACATTGTACTACCAACTTCAGCAGAAACAGCAGAAACAAGTGAAGAACTGCTATGGGGTCCATTCCAGCCGACGCCATGGCTGGCAAAGTGGTGTTGGTGGGTACAGCGAAAGCCCGACCATTTCGCAACGTGTGGATGTTGGAGGCCGCCTGGAGTTTTCCTGGTTGACAACTATGGACTATATATGGCGCACACTAGATCACATTAGTATGAGCCAGTATGAGCGCAGTGCTTTCAGGCAAGGTGCAATGTTCTCAAGAACTGGCATATTTTGGATGTTTGTTCATTGCAGTTTTTGCCATTTGAGATATGTCATACCACATCCTTGGCATCGTTCTGGAACCCCGGGAGGAGCTTCGCATCCCCTACACTTTGCTTCCTGCATTGCCTCGAAGCTCCGACGTGCTGACCTTGAATCCTGCTGGCAAGGTGCCCATTTTAAAGGCTGGGAGACTCTGGGAGAGGAAAAAAATGAACAGCTGATGATAAACTATAGACCAATGCTTGCAGCATCTCTCCTGTACTTTTTATATATATTTTTTGCACGCCCTGGAAATTGGAAGCGCTCTCAATGTTGTGAATTCTGTGGCTTTGAAGACAGTTGCTGTAGGCACCCTGCTGTCAACATCATGGTTCAGATGTACAAGCTCCTTTTTACAGCTAATCACATCGTACCTTGACATACATTTGCCTTCTTCATTTCTTCAGTTATATGAATCAATATCAATATTTTCAATTGAATTCAACTGTCTCAACTGGTGCGCAGCATGGCGACTTCACCATGACGGAGTCCGCCGCCATTAACACTTATTTGGGCGACACCTTCGGCGACTTGGTGCCAAAAGATGGCCAGCTGCGAGGAAGGCGAGGAAAAGACGTTCGTTGCTTTCGATTCTCATGGTGAAAGAAGAAACGATAGATATACGGTAGATATTATTAGTCAAATTATATGATATTTATACATGATATTAATTAAATATATAATTAATGATATCATAATTTGAATTCTTACTAGATAATTAATGGACCTGTTATTGAACCTTGTTGACGTTTGGTTTTTCTGAGCCATTCTGGGTATGCAGGTATGAAGAACTAGTGCAGTGCATTATGACAGAGCTCGATGCCCAGGCTTTCATTGGATCATGACTGGATCAAGAATATGAGCAATCATACCATCCATCGCAGGCATTCACATTCAGATTAGTTCCCTTATGACTTATGACTTATGATGCTAAAACCGACCCTTATAACTTATACCATAATTTATACCCTTGTTTTTTGATATCGTTTCTCTTGTGCTGTCATGTTTTATAGTCTTATTGGTGTTGTCATGTGCTTGAGGTGTTTCGATTCGCGTTTTGCCTTTTTGTTGGATCGTTGCGCTTGAGCAGGGCCTTTGGATCCACCGGAAGCATGAAGCCATGAAGCAATTCTTTGGCAACATCCCTGAGGCCCAGGGTGAAAGATTGAAAAAAAGGCAATGTGTTTTAAACACAACAAGATTATACAAAATGACAATGAGCCCCACAACTTCTGGAACTGGAGCAGTGGAGGGTTTCTTGGGCAGGTTGTGCATGTTTGTGCAACATGTGATATGTTGATGATTGTTGATGCACAGCTGTTGACAGTGAAGTCTCACCTTTGCAAAGGCATATTTGGCATATTTGGCATTGTGACATTGTGCTTTTGAATCTGTTGAAATTGGCCCAGATCGCTAAGCCGCTCTGCTGACAGGCAGTGCGACATGCGCGAGAGCATTTTTGCAACACCTTGAACATTCTCCTGACTCGACTTCGAGAGGTGAGTCGTCCTAGGTCCCTAGGTCCCTAGGTCTCAGGATATCCAATGATATCCCAAAAATGCAGGGAATAACGCTCTGAAACAGCCCAGATAGCCCAGTGAAAAGCCTGCTGACCACAGGCTGGTGATTACTTGTTGGGCGATTTCAGTGCTGCTGACATTCTTTTAGTTCATTGTGTCGGCCTCAGAACTTGCCAGAGCACGCCATGGAGCTATGGAAAAGTTTGGATGTTTTTTACATGCTACATATGCTACAGTTTTGGAAATGTTGGGTGGCCGCGTTTGCAAGACATTGGAGGATTGGAGTGCCAAGATGCCAAAAAAGATATGCCAAGATCCGAGGCCTTGACTGGGCTACAGTGATTCAGTGGCTTCCATCCGATGCAATCAATGCCGAGTTGAAGCCTGTGCTTGAAACCTATTTGCAACGCTGCCATCAGCGGGATGCATATCAACGTGCCATACTCCAGAGAAAGGCCAAGCTATAACAGCTATGAACATGATGAAAATGAACCCTCGATGCCTTTGTCAACGAATCCTGCAGAACTAACGAGACGAGACGGGGCAGAAAAGAAGCGTACTGTCCTTGTCGTGCTCGCTTACGCGATGAGATGGTTCAATATGTCCCTTGGGACTTAAACAAGGCTGCTTCAAGACAATTACATACCGGCACCAAGGAGGTATTGTATGAATTGGACATGTCTTTGAATGTGTACAACTTGTGCAAGTGTGAACCGAATGATTATATACACACGCCATTGAAAGCCCATGAGCAGGACCGACTACAGCGAAGAAAATATCCACTAGAAGGAAGGCAGGCATTTGATGTTGCGTTGGGGGCTAACAAGTTGAGATGGTTGCAGAATGCAATGGGCTTGGAGCTGCATTGCACTCAACAAAGCAAGTTGACAGTACATCCCTTGGCTCCTGCCTATTGTGTTGCGAATCTTTGTGTGGCTACCGTTCCACAGCTTGATTGACCGATTTTTCAAACGCATACATCCGGCTCATCGGTGAAGCTTTCAAGAGCTTGGGTGTTTTCTTCCCTTTCGGCTCAAGTGGTAGAAAAGTAGCCGCGATGGGTTTTGAGGACCAAAAGCAGGACAGCTTGAAGAGATTTGACAGTAAGAGTGCCAGTGTTGACTTTCCCATTTGACGTGTCAAAACTTTCTAGCAGCGGAGCTTCCACTGTCTGGATTTGTTTCTTACTAGTACTGCAGGTTTTTTTTGGACGATGCTTTGCTGGTCAAACATGGTAAACAGTTATATACAGGGAAGCCGAAGTGATTGTCAAGAGATGTTTGCTGATTGAGAGGCTCTACAGGGCCTGTGGGGACAGTCTGGCAAAGATCAGCTGCTTCGGGCTTAAGTTTAGTTCTGACGATGGCATGCATGAGGATTGAAAGGTCTGACAGTTTGGAGCTTCTAAGATCTTCTAAGTAGAAACATAGTAGAACATAGTAGAACTGCAGAATGAGGCATGCAGAATGAAGCAGCATGTAAAGAGGTTGCCCGGGCGGGCCCATCAATTGTCATCTTTAACTCTCAGTTTGGTTTTCTCACTTCTTGGTATTTGATTCTCATGTGTCGAAAATTGTGTTTTCATCGTGATTTGTGATTGCTTTTGTTTGATGACACTTTCTCACCCTTACTTGGGTAGCTCTGAATTTTGACACAAACACATTTGGGGTGTTTGTCAGCTTCCAAGTGTTTGAAAAATAATTCCATCACTTCTGAATATGAAGCCCTGAGAGTTCATCAGGGTCCTGCAATATGACCCGCATCAGATTTATGTACCATTATGTACCGTTCAGCTTTGCTGCTTTTACAAAACCTCATGTTCTTTAAGTCATGCTTTGCAAAGAATGCACGCATTTGGCGAGCAGTGACTTGGAATCCCCACCTCGCCTTTCTAGCGTAGCATCGAATACATGTGCACGTCATGACGAGGGTTCCACAACGCAGCAGCACGTGTGTGATTAAGTCAAGTACCGTAGCCCCACCCCACCCCATGCCTCGGGTAGCAAGTGGGAAATAATTAGTCACATCAGTACAAATTTGAAAAGATGCAAAAAGTAACGTATGCATATCAAAATTCCATATTTAATCTAGACTAAATGCTAGCATTGCTACATAGAATGATTCAAATTGCAATTTAAAAAAAACTGGAACAAATAGTCACAGGCTTTCCACATTTTCCACGGGCCTTCTCATGCAGATTTCGTCATCTGTTTCACAGCCATGCCATAGCCTTTTCACAATGCTGCAAACTCGTCAAGACACACTATCATATGAATGCTACAGCATGTTCAGACGGCTTAGATTCTTAAATCAAATCTAGACGTTCTAACAAGGAGGCTTCGTGTGGCCTTTGAAGGTCTTGGAAATGTTGAAAAAACAACTGCAAAAAAAGATGCAACTGACGATTCAGTTAACTGTCCAGACCATTCTACAGCAATTCAGAAGGTTGGCTATGATTCTCCTCCTTTGCATCTTGTAAATCTTGTAAGCAGCCTTCGTGGAAGATTCCTCCAGCGCTAAGGCAATGGTTCGTCGAAGAAGAGATGGCCATCATGGAGCCTTGGATATTAACCAATGGTTGGGTCAACTTGATGCCTGTTTTGCACACAGCTTTTCTGGATGTGAGTTCAAGCTGATACTTCCCTAAAGCGTGGTTCAGTTGCGAGTGCTGCAGGTTTTGTTTTGCGTTTGAATGATGCCGGCTAATAACGATCACCATGATGCCGATTGATATCGCATGTCAAGGGTGAAGCATGTGAAGCCCAAACTTCACTGAGGTGTGGAAAGGTAGCCGACGAGCAAGATCCTTCAGGCTCAGATCTGAAACACGCTGATGGTGCCCCATGCCCACCAAAATGCTCGGAGCATTGCTGTATGTTTGGTTGACATGGATAATGGTGACCAACATGACCAACTGCGACTAAGACCAACCACCTGAGTCTCCACTTCAGGCTAACTCCAGGGAAGCAGGGGGAGCTCGTGTGGGGCTCTGGCAAGCCGCTTGGTGGAGTAAAGGTATCATGGGGGGTTTAGTGACATGTGGCGGCTCAGAAGGCGCCATAAGCAGCACATCGGCAGCACCACAATGTCATCATATCCATAATATTCCATAATAGTATCCATGATATTCCTGTGATGTGTCCCCACTGAGACGGAACAACATTGGAACGCGAAATCACCGACCATATGCGGCTAAATGCGGCTAATACATACCACACCACAGCCCAAAATTTCACAACACTGCCAAACACATCCAAAAAGAGCTGCTACCAAGCAGCGCCCAAATGCACAGATTGTCAAGAGTATTATGCACCCAGGATGTCACAGTGGTGTAGCGTCCTCCATTCATCTCCATTCTCATTTCTAGCTGGGGTCGGAGAAAGGATAGGACGAAAATGGATGAAAATGGAGAATCACTGTGTAGACCCTGCTCTACGACTCTACGGCAGAGAAGAAAGCACATATGAAGAAAGCACATCGTACCATCTTGAAATCGGCCACCTGCAAAGCATCTTTTTGCCGGGATTGTGAGCGCAGGGGTTCGAAAAGGGTTTCTGAGGCCAAAAGTTATTAAAAAATACAAAATATGTATAAGATTCTGTCATGGGAACTGAGACTTTTGCCAAGTGCAAGTGGGACTTTGGGGGCTTCAGGTCAAGCTGTCGATCGGCTCAAGCTTTTACCCTGTAAAACCAAGTAGCTGGGGTATGAGCATTTTATTATCCCAACAAAGATATCAAAACAATATAATTATGATTAGCATCCCAACAAAGATATTAAAAAGATACCCCATCTAATTTTAATTGGAATTGGGTACTTGCCACATTTATTTACTATGTAATGATTACTATGTTACCCCATTATGTAGATAGATATTTTTAATAAGTTTGTCAGAAGGGTTCCTGCACCACCTAATCACCCAGTACCTCAGTTAGAAAGTGGTTTGCGCCCCCAATTACCAATTACATTCAAAATAAAAACAAATATGAGGTCCAAGTTATTTCAAGCTTAACCACTTTCTAGCTGTGGCCCAATCAATGGCAGCTGCATCGCTGACGGCCTGGCAGCCACAATGGAATTGCGCTGGCAGGACAGCTTTTTTTGGATTCCCCAGGGCTGGTCCACGCGTGGTTGTCTTCAACCCCAACCACTGCCACCTTATTTGAGCTAAATTGCCAAGTGAATCTAAGTGAGAGACTTTTGTTTTTCTTTGACTGTGGCAGTGGTAAACAGGGATTGGCTCAACAGGTATTGGGCTAAGTAAGAAGTGACACTACAAACCTTGTCGGTCGCACTCCTCCTTTGCCTTCATTCGGGCCATCGCAACATCCTCTCCCTTCGCCATGATCTGTCGATAGACACGGCTGTAAACTCTGTTGCGAGTAGGGGTAAGAACCTTCTTCTCCTGCAGGGAAAAAAACATGCAAAAAGGCAGCATTGTTTGGACTTTTGGACTTGTTGCGCCTTCGGTACCTTTTTCTCTGTGTCCTTCTTCTTCTTCTTCGATCCGGAGGCAGACTTTCTCTTTGGCGTGGCTTTCGCTTTGGGCTTTCGGTCCTTTGTTCCATTCTTTTGCACAGCTACACTTTTCGCTTTGGCCTTTGCCTTTGCCTTAGCTTTCGCCTTTGCTTTGGGCCTTGAACGCAGTGGCTGCTGCGAGGGAACAGGCTCTGGCGACGGTGGCTGCTGCGAGGGAACCGACTCTGGGCTGCTAGCACTGCACATACCAACAGGCGTACAAAAGGCAGGCGAAGGAACTTCTTGCTCTTGGACAGGCGCGCATGGGAAGAAAACTTCTGGCTCATCACCTTTCACTTCACTCTTTTCAACCTGACCACAACATCACAGAAATTGAGAAAACAGCACAGGCACATTCAAAAACATTAAACTTGTTTTTTTAATTTATTCAAGGTACCTTGTCATCAGGGTTTTCATTGGCATCAAGGCTGTGGACAGAAACTACATCCTGGTCAGGGTTTGTGTGCGTAAGATGAGAAACAGGTGTCAGAGACAATAAGTAACAAAAATTACTTTACTTCGAGTTATCACCACCATGACATTTATACGGTTTGTTACTGGCAAATCTTCTGGCATTCTATCTGACATTTTATCTGGCATTCTATCTGGCATACCTTCTGGCATTCTATCTGGCATTCTATCTGGCATATCTTCTGGCATTCTATCTGGCTGTTGAGGTCCAGCGGTGCACACTGAGCTCGGAAGGTCCCAAGTTGAGGTCCAGCAGTGCGCGCTGAGCTCGGAAGGTCCCAGGTTGAGGTCCAGCGGTGCGCACTGAGCTGGGAATGTCCCAGGTTGAGGTCCAGCGGTGCGCACTGAGCTGGGAAGGTCCCAGGTTGAGGTCCAGCGGTGCGCACTGAGCTGGGAAGGTCCCAGGTTGAGGTCCAGCAGTGCGCACTGAGCTCGGAAGTTGGCAAGAGCTTGGCGAAGAGTTGGCAAGGCGGAAGTGGAGGTGGAAGTTGATGCAGACATGGTCGAGGAGAAACTGGAGGAGGAGGAGAAGGAGGAGGAGGACAACAGCTCTGATAAAATCTAACAACCCTCACCTGGCAGGTGGGGAACAAACACACCATGAGCCATGAACATCAAAACATTGGGGAAGAAACAACAATGATTTCAAATAAAAGTTCCTTGTCCTGTGTTGGATGGCAATCATCCAAGCGAAGAGTTGGAGCCTTTAACTTGTCACAGCCGTCTTTCATAGTTTCCAAGCTGCTTGCTGTCCACTTAAAGGTGCCATTGGCAAGTTCACTGCGAACTCTCATTGCCTGTTGAACTTCATCATGGCCTTGGGATTCAGCCGTGCTTTCGATAACAAAGCTGTCCATGACCCAGGCAAGCTCCTGGATGGATTGTTTCTCTCCAAAATTAATTCTCTCCAAAATTGTTTCTGTCCAAAATTGTTTCTCCCCAAAACCCTTCATATAACCCAAACAAAGAGAACTGTCAAAATGTTCAAACATTAAAAATCAAAATCCAAACATATGTTGATCCTCGGAAGACGCTGGCAACAAATCCTTTTCACCACTGTTGGTCGCACATGGTTGGTCAGGAGGTAGATCACCACGAGCTTCGGCAGCCATGACCTGATTCAACAGAATTAAATTAGCTAATCGGGTTGCCTTCCAACACGATACCAAGAAAACAAACAATGTTCAACAGTAACTATGCCCACATAACAGGGTTGTTTTTCTTGACTTTTCCCTGCCTGTCGCTCAAAACTCATGCACTTGGAGAGCTGCTCTGCAGTTGCTCGCAATGGTGTCGGCTCCACTTCACCCACCTTTGAGTAGGCATCCTCCACCACAGCGCAAAAACCTTCCTCCTCATCATCGCAACCTGGAATGACAAACATTGCTTGCGTCGGTATGTGTTGATGTCCAATATTGTCCCATTGATGTTTCATGACTGGGATTCCTTTTGAAAAATGTGAATTTCTATGATTTTCTATTTTTTCTGCTTCTCACACTGGGCTTATGATTTGCTATGCCAAGTCCAAACACATAGCACAAATAATGCCAAGTAGCTGTCATCTTCAGCAATGCCAGTACCATCAGCATGCCTGCGCTTCTTGCGGGTTGACTCCTGGAGGGTTCAGAAATGAGTGGCAAGGCAAATATTTTTTCTAAGCAAAAAGGTTCGAAATTGAAATTATTTTTTGGACAAAGGGAAACATCAAGTCCTTATCTTTCTGGTGGCTTTTCTTGCTCTTCTTGCTTGGTTCGGTCTTCTTTTCCTTTTTGTCCTTCTTGCGACTTCTCTTTGAACCACCAGGGCACGCTTCATCAGCATCATCTTCATCTCCATCATCGTTGTCATGGTCATCAAGGAAATCATTGAAAAGTTCATCATACTCACTTTTTTTCTTTGACTTTGACTGTGTAGCAGGTTTCTTCATCACTGTCGTTTCCTCTTCATCCTCCTTGTCATCCTTTACAGCCTTCGTGGCCCCTCGACCTTTCAAACTTTTTTTTTCTCTACAGGTTCGACAGGCATTACTCTTTCACCACTTTTCTCATCAGACGAACTCTGAAGTTCACAACGTTCGAACAAAGATGACTTTCCTCCTGAGGAAAGCGCGTTGACTGGGTAGGGTATAAATAAATTCTGTTCCTGCGCTGGAAAGCTTATGAAACAATTGTGAGGGGTCTACCCAATAATTCGGATAAAGACCTATTATCACAAGGCTACCCAAATACCAATGAATGTTGAGCCAGTATGATATTATTCCAACCAGAACGCAGGGAAATAGTGACAGCAAAAATGACGGTGAACCTGCCCAACATGAAAATGTTGAATGCCCCTGTTTGTGATGAGCTTTATCCCCACTGGATGGACAAGTTATCAACCAGGTTATCTTGCTGGGTGCATAGACCTCCGGAAGTACTGCACTGATTTTGTTGGCAATATCCCCATATGACAGCCATTGGGACAGAGAGCCTTCATGATAGATAGACAATAAATGGTCGAAATCTTCAAAACCAAATTGAGCGTTTGGGTGCTAGTGTCCATGGTGAAAAACAACCAGGGATAATTAATGTTGATATGGATTTCCTGCACCCTCACAGAAAAATCATCATTCATCCAGGTTTCTTTGAGGTGTTATTCCATAGATGTTCAAACATCGAGCCCCGGGTTCTTTGTCACACTATCTCAATGCCAGCTGGCTTTGATTCTCCAGTCAGCCTAGAGATGAAACATATTGGGTATGAGAAACCTAGAGATATGAGAAACATATTATGGGATATATTCACACATTGTTGTTTGGTATTGTATAATACTCCAGATTTGATTGAGCAATGATTTAATCCCAGTCCACGGGGGGTTATAGATCGAAGGCTTCTGAAGGACATGGAAGGCCCTTTAATTTATTCTTAAAGTTACCCCAAAAATCCCCCAAAGAGCATTTTTTTCTTGGTGGATCAACGTGAATCCTCATGCCAAGTGACGTCTAGGAGGCTCTGTGCTGCCTGCCGATGCTGCAGCTTTCGAAGTTGAGGCTGAAGGGTTCGAAGGGGCCGAAGTCTTTTGGCCAGGGTTCATGGCAACTATCATCACATCTTGGTATTCGCCTTGGATGGTTGCATGGGGGAATACCTCAAAATATTTTACCTCCAAAATCAATCACTGGGTATTCCATCATGGTTTTCCTGACAAAGTATGAAAATAAAAAATAACCATTTCAGAATAGGCACTGATATCAAATTTCGGGACATGGGACATTGCTCAGGGGATCAACTGGACCCTCTGAGAAAGGAATGACCTTTGAGCCTTAAATTGGCCATGCCCCCACATCACCCAAATTCACAACAATAGCAACTCTGAACACCCAGCCGCCTAAGGTTTCTACATATTTTTTTTTCATCTTTGATGGCTGGGATTCGCTGGATGATCACACCCAGCACAGCGAAGCCAAACATTTTTTGGCCACCTAAGATTCCCCTGGCACTGTCCACAGTGCCAACCAAAAGATTGTGGACAGTACATCAAGCTGTCCTTTGGGCAACTGACGTTTTCCCCAAGACCATGGCCCACTGGAAAACAAAATGATTTTGAAAGGTTGTGTTTATTGAGCTATAGGGGTCGAGGGATTAACTGCCATGAGTCTGGGAAAGCATTAACCACGAACCTACAAAAGCTGGTACAACTCATCTGCCTTGCACTCCATCGCACCATGCAAGAGTGCCACAGGTCGGATTGGCACAAGTTCAAGCCCAGGTTGCAACCTGGCAGAGATCAGGGTGGCAAGGGATGTTCAGGATTCAGGATGGTCCTATATTATATTTAATAATATTTTAGATTTTATATTGTATATCAAATTATGAAATATGAGTTAATATAATAGGAGCCCGTTTAGGTTCCGGTAGCTTGACTTTAACCCCACATGCTATATAACTTGCAGGGTGAACCAATCATGATGTTTTGATTTATTGGTTTTATATGTCAATGTCTTTTGAAAAGAATCTATAGTCAATGGTTCTGTTGCAAAAAAGTATCAAACAAACCCATTCAAAATCATTTGCAGGATCACCCCAACAACACGTGTCCAAGATCCATAGTAATCTTTCAGGTAGTGGGAACAAACCTGCCCTATGCATGAGTTTGCTACACTGGTTTGCAGCTGGCTAAAAAATAACCCACTAAATTTGGCAGAATCCTTCATGGATAGTGGGGTCATCCATTGGCAAGAATAATTGAAGTCACCCCACCTCATTCGCCAAATGATCCTGATATTCTGGTTGGAGCGGATCTTGCTCAGCGACAGCTTTGCTCCGAACGTGGTTGCGCTGGAAGTTACCTGATATAAGACATGAATCATAGCATTGGCACCCCAATCACACGTTGTTTTTTGAAAAGGAGATATGTCAGCTATCCCTGAACTATAAGCAATTTTGTTTACTTTGGGGGCCCCACATTGTCTTATTATATTATCTGTTTTTTTTGTGAAATCTTTGTGTGGCCAAGCAACACCCAAAAAAGTGAACTTTGTAAAATTATGTACTGCTGAAAAATAAGTTTTGGCCCCATGGCCTTCTTCTTTTTTGGCTCCTTTGGAGGGTCAAGGGCGAAGCAAACCACTTTCTCGGAGCGGAAAAGCGATCCACCACCATCCTGCTTGTCAGAGATGTGTGTGGAAACCTTCACGTTGATCTCGCCCAGGTTCTGGAGGGTTTTGATGAGCTCTTTGAATGAAATCACCTTGGCCAAAACCAGGGCATCACGACATATCACCACCACATACCACCACCACATACCACCACCACAACCCAAAAAATACAACCACCACCACAAAAGCAAGACCAAACCAAATAATAAAACTACCCATGGTAACCACCCATAGTAACCACCACAGCGTAACTGTCACCACAGAGTAGCCACTGCCATAATGTAACTACCACCAACCAGAAACTACCACCACAGAGTAGCTACCACAGAGCAACTACCATAGAGTGACTACCACCACCACCAGACAACACAACAAAAATGTACAAAAAATAGTTTACCGTGTGTGATCCCCACCATGAAATTTATACATTTTCTTACTGGCAAATCTTCTGGCATTCTATCTGACATATCTTCTGACATTCTATTTGGCATTCTATCTGGCATATCTCACGGCATTTTATCTGGCATATCTTCTGACATTCTATCTGGCATATCTTCTGGCATATGTTCTGGCATATCTTCTGGCATTCTATCTGGCAAATCTTCAAGCATTCTATCTGGCATATCTTCTGGCATTCTATCTGGCATATCTTTCTGGCATATCTTATGGCATTCTATCTGGCATTCTATCTGGCATTCTATCTGGCATATCTTCTGGCATATCTTATGGCATATCTTCTGGCATATCTATCTGGCATATCTTCTGGCATATGTTCTGGCATATCTTCTGGCATTCTATCCGGCAAATCTTCTGGCATTCTATCTGGCATATCTTCTGGCATTCTATCTGACATATCTTCTGGCATTCTATCTGGCATATTTTGTGGCATTCTATCTGACATTTTATCTAGCATTCTTTTTGGCATATCTTCTGGCATTCTATATGGCATATCTTCTGCCATTCTATCTGGCATATCTTCTGGCATTCTATCTGGCATTCTATCTGGCATTCTATCTGGCATTCTATCTGGCATTCTATCTGGCATATCTTCTGGCAAATCATCTTGCACATCTTCTGGGATTCTATCTAGATATTTTGTGGCATTCTACCTGACATTTTATCTGGCATTCTATTTGGCATACCTTCTGGCATTCTATCTGGTATATCTTCTGGCATTCTATCTGGTATATCTTCTGGCATTCTATCTGGCATATCTCATGGCATTTTATCTGGCATATCTTCTGACATTCTATCTGGCATATCTTGTGACATTCTTTCTGGCATATTTTCTGACATTCTGTCTGGCATATCTTCTGACATTCTTTTTGACATATCTTCTGACATTCTATCTGACATCTTTTCTGACATTCTTCCCGTTGAAGCCAAGCAACTTTTCCAAAGATGTCACAGGATCGGATATGATCAGCAAGCCTTTTGTCGCTCTCTGCAATCAAAAGGTCAGAGTCGCTTCCAAGCTTGTAGTTGATCCACCTGCCAGCCGCATCTGACATGATGTCAGTCGCTTCTGGTCCTTCAGCGAACTCTCCACTGCCAAACCCGAAAATCTCAGTGGGGCCAACCTGAATTGAGCCTGTCTTTCTGGTCACCTTCTCGTCCACACCCAGAAACAAGGTCTCTTCCTGCAAGTCATAGACCAGACGGAAGTTGCCACAGTTCAGCACCAACCTGCATGAGACATAAAATCAATGGACATATCATGTCCCTCATTGCTAAAATTGAATAACATAGAATGAAACTCAGCCAAATAACGCCCGATGGGTGCAGTTTTATGAATTTAGAAATGACTGTCCACAATCCAGAAACATAGAATCAAAGTAAGTTCAACTGCATCATATGTTCAAACCAGAAGCCAAAATCAACAACAGCCATGTAAACCCCAATGTATGCAACTGTGTTTTTATAAACAATTGACGATGGATAATAATTGTTCCAAACCGAAACCATAGATCAAAATTTGATGGCACAAAACCCAATGGACCTATTAAAACGCTTTGTAACATTGAAAGTCTTTCTTTGTCCCAAAAACAGAAACATAGAAAGAACATCAGCCATATAGCCAATGGACATAACGTTCCTTTGCAAGTCTTGTGTAACATCCAGATCTTAGGGTGATACCAATTTTGGCCAAAGCACTTGTCAGACATCTGCGCTTCATGTTCCACTGGCTTCACAGTTGCTTCAATCTTCGGTTTTTTCGTTGGTCCTCCTTCTTCTGTCTGAGCCGATGGGGATGTCGAGGCACCTCGCTTCACACCATGTGGATTGTATTTCTTGTTGTGCTCGACAAGTAAGCGGGCCATCTCCACCGAAAAGAGATGCTCTTCCTTGCTCCAGTACTCGACCAAATTTTCTTTTATGGCCAAGGTGCCATTGGAGAGGGCAACTGTGACTTCATACTGTGGGGCTGCAATCTCCTTGGTCAGCTTCATCTCTTGCACAACGGATTCAAACTGGGGAAATCCTGGAATCTTCAAGGAGCCAGCCCGGGCCATGCTGTAAGCTTTCTGGGCAACGGACGTCGCACAGTACTGTGACTCATGCGCTGTGTGACAGGCTGTCCCACATGCAACCTTTCGTCCTCCCAGGGAATCCAAAGAAGGGCAGATTCCAAAAGCGGTTAGTAGGTTAAAACATGTTAAACAATATAAAACAATCAAACAAGGGGTAAGAGAAAACATGTTGTATGTAAAACAGTAGTTAGGCATCGGATATTTATTAAATCGACTAAAATCATATTTTAAAATTAAAAACATCTTGCCTGCAGCTTGTTGGATCAGCGCATAGCTCGAGGTCCATCCATCGTAGCCCAGCAAATCCACCAAGACCACGGAACCATCAAAGGTGCCACCACCATATTGGAGCAAAGCGTCCATCACGCGGTCAACAAGGTTGATGCCACCAAGGTGCTGGCAGGGTTTATCAAAATCAGACCCATCAAACAAGTTTTGAACAACTCAAAACATTTTGTTTCGACGTTTTTTTGCAAAGTTGAAAACTAAAAAACTTGAGCCTGCTTGAGCTCCTGGACCCTGGTGAGTCGAGCTTCACTGCCAAATTTCGAAGGCTTCTCCGCTTTGCGCATTTCATTCCTTGTCGGTTTGAAGCAAGTCAAACAAAAACTTATTGGATATCAAACAAAATTTCCTTTGAAAGGGGTCCTCAAGGTGAAAGGGGTCCTGGCCTAGAAGCCTCCAAGATTAATTTCGACCGAGTTTTTGCCTTTGTATGAAAAACTCGGTCGAAATTAATCTCGGGGGCTTCGCGCGCATAAGGAACATTCTTGGCCAGGACCTCTTTCACCTTGGGGGCCTCTTTCAAAGGAAATCTTGTTATCAGTGGAATGTGGCTCCATTGTTTTACCAACTGGGCAAAAACCAGATTTATCAAATGAAAGCTGAAACCACAACTAATGACAGGCCAAGTAGCCTTGCAAGCATTGACACATTCTGGACCACACCGCACTTCCACAACTGGGATTTTCGCAGCACATTGGCCTTGTCGGAACTAGTCACCAGCAATGCAGGGTGAAATCCTTCTCGGACTCCATACACAGTGGAAGGCTCGAAGACCACACTGATGGGCTTCACCTGGCAAGGAAAAACACACCAACTAAATTTGCTTCGTTAAATGTCATTGGGCCAAAAGATTTCAACCCCAACGGCTTATACATGAAATTATGTTTAAGTTGCCATTAAGTTCTTGTTCGTTTCTATTTTGCCAAAAATGAAAAACAACCCTTTGACTTTGAACCGATGCCCTGCCTTGAGACCGCGGCTGCTTGCCATCAAAGTGACCTGCAGCTGGTATCGGGCATCCCTCAAGATGGCTTCCAAAGACGAACTCGATGGCCCATCCTCATCTTCCTTGCAATCTTTGTCATCTTCATCTTCAGCGTCCGTTCCTGCAACAATGCGGCAGGGCTTGCAGTACCCAACAAGATGATTGTTGAAACCTGCTACCTAAAAAACACATAGGACATGTAATGCACTAAATCATTATAGGGAGACTCTGAAAACATAATCTAATTCTTTCTTTTCAACACCAATCAAAACTATGAGGTTTTCCTTTTAAGACCAATCAAAACTTACCAAACCTGGTTAAGTTTACCAGCTGTCCTGTTTGCTTCTTCACTTCAGCATCATCATCGTCTTCTTGCAGCTCCTGCCTGTGACACTGACAGATTGTAGAAGTGTTCTACTTTGGGAACTTGGGAAAGCTTAAAGCCCAAAGAGGTGTGTGTTTTCCAAACGAAAAAGACTTAATTTGTCCCAATGAAAAAACTCAACATGAACAGTTTAATTTAACAAACCCAACAACACAAACTTCAAAAATGCAAAAAATGCCAAGCTGCTTGACTGGAGAGCCAGTGCGGAGGTCCCCAGCACGGTTTGGAAGGAAAATCACAGCACCACCAGTTCGTGGAAAGGAATGGCACAACTGTGTGACTTGTTCCACCGTGAAGGTGAGCTGCTTTGCTGAAACAACTCCAGCCGGAACGTAGTTGACCCAACCCACCACACGTTCAGAATCCGGTCGGCGGATCCCGGAACCGAACCCAGTAAGCGTTTGCTGTAGCCAGGGCTCACACTGGGCAGAGAAAACTGAAGGAAGATCTGGCTCCACGCCTGACATTTTTCCATAACAGCCATGCCCCAATAACTTGAAGTAAGTGAGCCCATATCGAAATTAAAACTGATTGGTATTTTAGGGGGTTAGACACTGAGTTAGACCATCGGTTTTTTGAATGTTGGTAAAGTTCATAATGGCTATGCCAAAATTCAAATGGGAATGGGCTTATAATTGGACCCTTTTTAATGATAGTAGATTTTAGATTCAGCGAACAAAGAGTCATCAAAAATGAGGTGGGTATTCTGGAGCCCCAAATGCAGAGAAGAATGGGACAGCAGTATTATTTGAATAGATCAATGGACTTGAAGGGGTCATTAAACATTGTGATCTTTTACAGGGTTCAAAATAAAGTGAGGTATTTTTTCTTTGGTCATGGGCAGGCCACACCTTGGGCAGTCTTTGGAATCGAAATGTCCCAAACCGGAGCCACTTCAGCAACATAGTCTCCGATCAGCTTCCAAGCGGTGCCATGCATTTTCTTCAGGGTAGGGAGCATGGTGTAAGAATCGTTTTTATGAATGGACCCCTGGAAAGCATCATTGAATGCATCTTCAACCCCATAGGAGTGAAACATATCAAAAAAGGCTTGATGGTTTCCCCTGTTTTTTGTGTGCCACCCCATTCTCGGACAATTACACATTGGCAATTCCCAATGATTATGTTTGGAACCACATCGCCTCCAGACTGTGGACCAGCACAGACCGAGCCCGCTGGCTGCTTACCTCTGAGGCCGCCAAGTGCTTGTCATGGAGCACCTGGTCATTGTGCAGGCTCGTGGTGAACAGGTTGTAGGCAGCTTGAAGGGAAGACTTGCGTGCATTCTGCACGCTGGATTGCGCAAGGGCTACCAAGTCATCAGTCTGCTTACCTGCTGCCTCTTGCACAAACGGGAGCTTCTTGAAGTCAAACTCCGGATCTTTGCCTTTCCTTTTTTGAAAACCAAGGAAAACAAAATCAAACCCACTCGATTTGGTTCTACATGTTCCCAATTACCAACTGAATCAATATTTGAAACCCAAAACTAATAATAGATTAAATTTATCTGCCAAAGTTCACCTGGACCTTCAGCTCGGTGTCCAGGGCCCTTGGCCGCAGCGCGGAGGAACTTGACATTTTACGGAGCAGATGTGGGTCAGGCAGATGTGGAAATCTTTATGTTCCCCAAACGGTATTTAGTATTTATTTGCAGATTGAACCAGATTCAAAGGTTGGGATATCTTAGGTAGCAAAAAAAACACATCACTTTGAGATTTGGTGTCTAAAAGATCACATCATTCCATAATCTTTGGTCAGTGCTAAAAACTATAAACTATGTTGAAAGTTGAAATGGTGTTTGAATTCAAGATAATGAATGGTGTTTTCAGTCTACAAGCTGACTGGTGTTTCTTCGAGCTTGGATACCATGTTTTTTTCCAATACCCCCGAAACTGGTGGATGCTATGAATATAATTTCAAAGAAAATACAATTTCCTTTGAAAGGGGTCCTCGGAGTGAAAGGGGTCCTGGGTCCGCGCGCAAGGACCTCTTTCAAGGGAAATTTTGTTAGAAACTATGATAAGTTCAATTCAAACTCACACCTCCCAGAAAAGAACATGTGGGTATGTCTCAGAATGAGGTGCCCTTTTCGGCCCTAAAAACATAATAAATCAAAGGAAAAAAGGGCACCTCATTTTGAGACATCCCCATACTTAAAAATCGAATATAAGGGACCTGTCTCTAGGTAGGGGGTGCCCAAAACTTTTCATTCTGATATGATTTCATTGTTGTATTGTCCAGTGTTGAGTCTAGGATTTTGGGAGTAGCCACTGAATGTAAATATCCCCAGGGTATTCTAGAAAAATATTTCGGCGCCACTGAAAGTAACTCTGAGTGATATCTCAAAATATGGACTGCCCCCTTCCAATTTTCGATTGAGGATCTTGGTGAGTGGAAATCTTGAGTGAGTGGAAAACAACTTCCAACCAAAGATTCTTGAATGAGTCTGGAGTGCTGCAGTTTTTCTAACCTAAGAGTCTGGAGTGCTGCATTTTTTCTAACCTAAGAGTCTGGAGTGATGCGGTTTTTCTAACCCAAGATTCTGGAGTGATGCGGTTTTTCTAACCTAAGATCCTGGGGTGATGCGGTTTTTCTAACCCAAGATTCTGGAGTGATGCGGTTTTTCCTACCTAAGATTCTGGAGTGATGCGGTTTTTCTAACCCAAGATTCTGGAGTGATGCGGTTTTTCTAACCTAAGATCCTGGAGTGATGCGGTTTTTCTAACCCAAGATTCTGGAGTGATGCGGCTTTTCCTGCCTAAGATTCTGGAGTGATGCGGTTTTTCCTGCCTAAGATTCTGGAGTGATGCGGTTTTTCCTACCTAAGATTCTGGAGTGATGCGGTTTTTCTAACCCAAGATTCTGGAGTGATGCGGTTTTTCCTGCCTAAGATTCTGGAGTGATGCGGTTGTTCCTGCCTAAGATTCTGGAGTGATGCGGTTTTTCCTACCTAAGATTCTGGAGTGCTGTGGTTTTTCTAGCAAATCAATGTGAAGTTATACAGTTCTTTGTGCTCACCAAATGTTCATGATGAGGATTTTTTTACTGGTACTGCAAAATTTTGGAAAACCATGTGCAAAATAGGAGTTGGGATTAGAGCCAGAATGTGCAGCGGAATTCAAATTCCACTGTACAATTTGCAGGGTTTCAGATATGTGGAAATTGGGAAGCTTTAGATCCAACATCCCAAAAATTTCCCGATGTTCGATATGCTGGGTTTTGTACAGCGGAATTTAAATTCCACTGCATTCTCAAGCCTATTTTGGAGATGCCCAAAAGTACATGGTTTTTTGTAAAAGAACATGTTAAATTTGAAAATATATCAAAATTGAGCACCCTGACTTTTTGGCAGCCAAGGTGCCCAAGCTGCCACATCTTCTGGACTTCATCCAGTGACCTGCCTTGACCAAGATGGGTTTCGAGCTTCGGCCACAAAAATGCCATAACGCAAGAAATCTGCAACAGCTCCACCATCGCACTCTGGTCTCGGATGGCCAATTTCTGCAACAGGGTTGTGACCAATCAAACCACAGTTAAATGGTTTTAAAAATATTGGAACATAGTTTGGCCATTGGTTTGAAATTCCCCTGCCTTCTGTTTTGCACTGGCATGCTTCCCAACTTTCTTGTCATAGTCATGGATTGCTCGCTGAGCCCAGAGCAGCACAGCTTCATCGGTGACAACCTGGGGTCAAGGGTTTTAACAATCGAGAACAATTAGTAATCATTAAATTGATTGCATTGATTGAACAGTTATCAAATATTATTTAAACTATTATTATTATAACAAGGAGCTTTAGACCTAGGTTTTTTTTGGTTTAAACCTGGCCTGGATCTCCTTCCAAACTCCATCCCCCAGCTCGAGTGAAGTCCCGGGCACATAGTAGTCACCCTCCAGGTTATCCATGTTCAAAGCTGCCAGGGTCAGGGGATGAAAAGTGAGTACGCAATGGTTCAACGTTTTTTTTTGGGATCAAAACATGAAGAAACATCGTGAAACTATCACAAGCCTGCAAGCTCAGGCTTGGTGTTGTTGTAGATGTATTTCAGCATGTCCCACAGCTGCAAAGGACACCGCAGCAGGTTGTAGATCATCTTTTTCACACCCTCTGAAACTTCCATGCCTTGCCAGAAGGAATGGAACAACCAATCCAAGTCTATAAGGGGTCTACCCAACATCATATGGAATTTGTTTAGCATCATGCAGGGGTTAAAAAAACATTGCTATTATAGCATGATGTATGGAAACAAAAATAGTTATGGCATGATGTATGGAAAATATATTTCTACCAAGAGGCCCGGTGGCTGCCAACAGTCTTGTTGTACTCCCCAACGCAAGCAAAAAGAACATCGCGCAGAGACAAAGACTTGCCTTTTGCCGAGGCCTGCCTCAGCCGCACAGACTCCTTGAAGAGCAACATCAAGTCGAGCGCAGAAGGCTTCGTCTTCTCCGCTGTTCGATTCGCCAGACCTGCAAGTGTCAGATCCAATACCAGGAGAGTTATTGTTCATGGACAACAATTAATAGTGAAAACAAAATGTACCAATATTGCTGGGCCACTAATTGACTCATAGAGAAAGTACTCCGGCCTGTCATGCTTGTTGTAGTTGCATCGAACATACCGAAAAGATGCAATCATGCTGCAAACATCTTCTTCTTCTTGGAGATCACCTTCCTTCACTTCCTGATAAACTAATCTGAGGTTCACATAGATTTACTAGATATCAATAATTTTGATATGTTGAATGTAAAATCAGAAAAGGGACCACTCTCAGATCAAAAAAGAAAACAGGTTCAAATGTTCAGAGATTATTTTGACGAGGCACTAACACATGCAGCATCCCAAGTATGCTTTGCAAGATCAGGGCCTTGCACTGACCATCCACGAAACCCACCGAAAAGGGGCTCACTTCGTAGGACACCCTGTCCTCCAGGCTTTTGGTGAACTTCACATCGATGGCTTCACGATGTGATTCCAAGCCGCGGTCCAAGAAGGACTGGAAGTGCATGGAGTACTGGTGGTTCGTGGGGAAGCGGCCAACAGCCCCATACTTGGAACTTTCTGAGAAATCGAAAGCCCAGGCGTCCAAGAAGAAACTTTGCATAGACTTGGGCGGGACAGATTTGACAGTGAGCTGGGTGGTGATGTGCTTCTGCACACAGTCATAGGCGAAGAGGTCATCCATAGCCTCAGATGTTTGGTTACTTAAACTCAGTAAAAATTTGGGGATGTTTGGGGACAATTGATTTCTTCTGAATCAAAACGCTAAAATGGACATGGTCAGAAACATACAAATACCATTGGGAAAATCCAAGAAACCTGTCCGAACGTTCTTTTCCCCTCATCATCACCAAAACTGTCCCACAACCACTGGCCCATGTTCTGCTTTGCACAGATCTGGCCCAGGGCAGGATGATGATTAACATTCAGTTTTCTCAAATGATAGTTGAAGAGACTACCGCTTTAACCTTTCACATTGAGCTATGAACATTTTAAAGATGCCTGCCTCATCCTTGAAAGATGTCAGGCGCAGCTTTATGCCTTTTGGCACATCCTCTTCCTCAATCAGGGTTTATGATTGGTTGCCTACTGCCACAGCCAAAAAAACATATACAAACCTCCCATGCATGAGCCCCGCGAAACAGGAGTTCATGCAGCCAAGTGTCTTTGACGTCACCAAGTTGGACATCCTCATCTTTGACATCAGCCATTGCCAAGGCCACCAACGAGTTCGGCTGGCCCCCAAGTTGTCCGCTGAGCCACAATTAAAGAGATACCTTAAATCTACTACTTAGTAATTGGGAATTGTTGGGATATGCTGGGGGAAACTCAAGAGGAGGCCGCCCTTAGGTTTTAAACCCCAAGCCACCATTCTCAATGGAACCGGTGAAAAGTAACCCGCATAGTGTGCAAAGTGTGGGGCTCTAAATTCCCCAGCACAATGGCCCCCCGCTGGACTGCCGCTTGTGGCACCAGCAGAAAATCAAGCTGCTGCGATGGTTTCCTTGGCATTGCCCGGACCCCCGCAAGCTGCTCCATGTAGCAAACTGCCCTGCCATATTGAAAGTAATTCTCTTTGAGAAACTCACAAATCTCAATCAACACCGCTTTCCGTTCATCATCCGTAAAAGCAGCCACTCCTTAATTTGATGTAGAGGGTTGGTTGCAACCAGGCCAAAAACTAGATCAGAATCACCAAAAAGAGAAAATAGAAACCACAAACTGAAATTCATCTTTGGACTAGGTTCTTGCGCACTCATTCCTGGCTATTTTTTGCAAAGTGTTCATGCACCGGTCTGCACCTTGTCCCGGCCAAACTGCAATAACAGGCTGACAAAGTTCAGAATCACTGACAAAAGCCTTCACCATCAAGAAGACATCATGTGGAGATCCAGCTCCAAAGCGTGGTGGAATCCGGTTCGCCACTTCTGCAAGCAAATGCTCAGGCATGCCTGCCGAAACATAGGGATTTTGCTTTTAGGTCAAGTAAGTTTAAAAACACCATTAAAAACCCAGGGGCAAAACTTAAATTCAACAATCATCGCTGAAAGTATGGCCAAGATACTGTCACGACGAGCAAAGGTAAAACTGTGGGGGATATCTTTGGTGTCAGTCAAATGACGTTTTCGATAGCCACCACCAAGTGTAGAATATTTCTCCAAGGTGTGTGTCCAATTCCTGACACTGGTAATGTATTCAGCTTGAAAGGTAATCCCAGATTTTGCAAAGGTAGCCTGCAAGCGGTCATTCATCCATGCAGCCATGTCTCCAGGAGTTTGCCTCACTGGAAAAAAATGAAACATTATTTGCAACAAAACTTTCAATATCCTTACGTAAACCAAGAGGAAAAAAGAAAACTACCTTAGGTGACAAGTTGCATTTCCTCATCCCCTTGACGAATCAATTTGGATAGCATCCCAAAGAAAGCATCTCAGTGACAATGAGCTGGGAAAACACAACATATTTACATCTTGGGTGGTAAAAACCAAAGAAAAAACAATTAAATGCCAAACGTTAAAACCGTTACTGTATTTCTTTTAAACAAGATATAAGAAATAAATGAAAAAATCATCTTTTGGAACCCTCATCAAACATGGCAAGAAACCAATGTCTTCATGAGTGTGGCCCACGACCAGATGGTCGTGGGCCACACTCATGAATGCCCGTGTTGTGCATAGATGGCAACAGTAGCGTCCCAGTATGGAATTTCGATATTCCTAACTTTTCACACAAGGCAAAAAACAACATTGCAGAAAATCATTTGGGAAATGAACAAACATCAGAAACAAATCGCACCAAATGCTTCACTTCCTGAAACAGTGTTCAAGAAACCTTTGGGGTATTGTCTGTCCATATGCGTAAGTGACTTGGCCACGGTTGATTGGCTTGTTGGGTCATCAGAAAAGCTTTGTTCAGGGAAACGGACAGCACTTCCAAAGACCAATCACTACCATGGGATGCATCTTCGTCGGTGAGGTAAACATAGACTGCACGTCCATGAAGAATGGCTGCGGTAACTTCCAGCTCTGGTCGCCTTCGATTCTCAAGAGATTTTGGGCAACGTCCTTGGGGGAAACGTGGCAGTCGAAACTTGCTGCGGTCCATGCTGTCGACTATACAGCATATAATATCTTTCTGGTGGATAGCTCTCCATTTGTATTGTGCGTAGGTCTGCCTGTCACTGTAAACACCAGACAAATGTCTCATATACTGGTCCGCAAAGGTGGCATGTGCCTGAATGGTTTTCGCATGCTTGATGCCAGATTTCAAACGATGACATACCATGCATTGGGCATGGTTGGACACATTCCTGAACTTGAGCTTTTGCCTCCAAGAAGAAGTCCTCAAGGTTCGAAAAAAAGTAGATGCTGAGGCTGCTGATTTCCCTTGGGCAAAGGATTCTGCCTGATACAAACGGTAGAGGTCAGAATAAGTCCTTAGCCAAACAGACTGCGAACTGAAGCCCAAGTTAGAAAAAAAGGAGAAACCAAATTACAAACTCAAAACAAAACATGAAAACATGCCAGGGATCCCCGGGGAAAGGTACCGCCTAGGCAAATCAGCAGGATTGACAGCACCAATGCCAACACTGGCGCCAAGTGAGTTGTTCATCAAAGCTTTCACCAGTTTCTGTCGCCCCTCCGTTGTAGATGCCCAATGTTCCTTTGGGTTAAAATTCATCCTTGGTTGTCGTTATTTGTCCAAGCCAAGAAATTGTTAAATTTCCTGCCTAAACAAGTACCCTCAGTACCCATTAACTGTTACCCAAAAAGACAAAATGTTCAATGCCACAGGAATATTTGCCAAGTATCTCATGAGGCAAAGTCTCGGCAATTCCCCAGTAGGTCTTTTGCAGGAATGCAAGAACCGATGCAGAAGCCGGAGCAGTGTGACAATGGTGTCCTTAGCTTCACAGGATGTCCGAACAGTAATTAAACAAATGACATTTAGATTGAGGAAAAAATATTTGTCGGTAAGGGTACAGGTTTTATTGACACTTTGAATAGATGACAAGTGTCCCACAGAACGCAAGTCCTGTCCTCTGAATGTGTGCTTAGTGCGTATCAATCTACCTCGGCCAATCCCAAGTAGGTGTAGGAACGCATCTCTGCAAATTTGGATACCTTGGCAAAATGCTGGGTCCCAAAGATATCAAAACACTTGACCTAAAACCAGTGACTTGGTCCATTAGGAAATTAAAACTTCAACCATATTTTTTCAAGTAGCCTTGTATGTACCACTTTGCCTTGTTCCTCACATGGACCCCAGATGATGTTGAATCACTGTCACTCGAGCTGGCAGTGGAGTAACTAGCATCAGCATCACTATCATCATCAGAGTCATGGTCGTCATCGAGAGACCCATTGGCTTGCTGAAAGCTCCATAACCTCCAGGGTTTGATTGCTGAAGTACACCCACATGGTTCCCATGTAAAGATCAAGATTATATTGGGGACTATTGGTGTTTGTTAGTGGTAAGCTAACGCAACATGTTCTCTGAATATAAGACAGGGAACAGCCCATCTTGAGCAGTCTTTGATAGGGACCAAAATGCCACACACATGGCAGTGACCATCTTCAAAGTTAGATTGCGTTTGCACTTCCGCTTACAACATGGTTTCTTCAAAGCCATCGAGATCCTCTCAACATCTTTGCCACGCTCTTGGTAAACTGTTTGGCTGGCATCTTCAGCACCTTAGATATAGTTTGGGGTTATTTAATGTGTTTTACCCAACCAATGATCTTTGGTAAAGCGGTTCAAACTCACAAACATGTTCTAAATGTTCAACAAGATTCTGAATATCTCCAAAGATTGCAATTGATTCCAGCATAGATTGCGAATGGCTGGAAGTTTGTCCTCCACCTTGGTCCTCTTCAATGGTCGCTCATCTTCACTGGAACTGCCAGGCGCAGAGCTAGAGCCACCAGAGCCACTGGACGAAGATGCGCTGAAGCGCTGCATGGCTGCCAAGCTGCAAGATGTGTTGATGATGTCAAATAGATAATATGTCATATTTTTCAACTTCATGGAAGCTTTACAGGAAGGGGGGATAATTTTTCACTGGGGGGTTCCCATCAATGACGCACTTCTTTTACTCCACCATTGTTTCTTTTACTCCATCATTGTTTCTCATTCCGAAAGGGTTCCATCAACCAAATACATTTCTGAGGCATTTTGATCGAGAAACAGGTGTGCCCTGTGATTTTTGGGTGAAGGGTTATGAGCCCAAACCCACGTGTTTAGCCATGCGTTCCCATTCGGTGCCATCAAGGGGAACTGATCTACCTATGGCTGCTGGCAACCCATTTTATTCGGAAAAAACCCAAGAAGAATGTAAGTTGGCGGCAGCTCGACCTTTGGGATTACCTAGTGACTATGAGGGGATGGATCCAATTCAAAACCTGCCTGGGAGCGCTCAGAGTCATGCGCAAGCTGGACCGACTGGAAAGGGCCGCGGGAGTTCTTCAGCTGGGATGCTGGGGCCTTTGCTGCAACCTCCAGAGGGGCTTAGTGCTATGAGGACTGAGGGGCGTCTTCCTGATGAAAGTGGGGAGAAAACAATGGGTCCAGTCAAAAACCCCAAGAAGAGTTCTGGTGAAAAAGAAGGTGTAGATCAGCTCCAGCGGGCACTTGAGGGGGAGCTAGTTAGCTATCTCCGCGAACAGAATTCAAGGCTGATCGACGAATTGGCCACCCTCAGGGACAAACTGGAAAAGACTTCGGGTGTGGAATCGTCTCCTTGGTCTGATGTAGGTGCTGTTGGGTCTTCAGATGTATCTCAGCAGTTTGGACGTCAGGGCAGACAAGGTAGCCGGACACCCCGAGCACGAGTGCGTGAAGCAGCGGTGAGTCCTGAGAGGTTCAACAACAAGAAGGATCAGTTGAGGTTCACCCCCAACGGGACGAAGGTGCCAGAAGGACCACCACCGCAGGGGCAGGAAGATGTGCCGTTGCCTCCTGTGCCACCGTTTCCAAGAGGCGATGTGGTTGGGGACCCTCAACAAAGTAGTTTTGTCAGTGGTTTCAACGACATGTTGGACATCTACGATACTTGTGAATCAAAACCCAAAATGAAACATGGTGATGTAGCTTGGAAACCTCAAGGGGAACCGGATGTGCCGCTATCAGCCAGTGAAGCCAAACAGATTTGGATGGAAAGGGAACTCCGTTCTTTGAAGTCTGCATTGGATAGGGTATCGATCCCACCGGTCCTCCAACAATCTGGGTATTGGAATACTGGTTTTGAGGGGAAGCTGCAATCTTGTTTGTCTGGCATGGGATCTGTTGCAACTGGACTTGGAAGCGATCCCGACGCTCGGGCTCAGCATGGTGGATGTGGAAATCATGCGCCTGGTGATCGGGCGGGGCAGACTGCCGTCGGCTTTCAAGGACGTGATCGGGCATCGCAATCGCATGGAGAACTTTATGGACCAGTTCGGGCCTCAAGTTTGCATGGTGTTCACCGTGAACAAGCTCGGGCTCAGCATGCGTTTGGTGATCATCGCGAACAAGCTCGGGCTCAGCATGCGTTTGGTGATCATCATGAACAAGCTCGGGCTCAGCAGACGTTTGGCGATCATCGCGAACAAGCTCGGGCTCAGCAGTTGCTTGGTGATCCTCATGACCAAGGTCGGGCCTGTCATTTGCACGGTGATCTATATGAACAAGATCGGGCTTTCAATGTGCATGGTGTACATCAAGGACGCGATCGGGCACCAGCAAATGGCGCTTGCATGGGACTACATCAAAACGGTCCTCAAGATTATTGCCACCTTCCTGGTCATGGTGTGGGGGGAGGTGGATGTGGAGATGGACGGCCGGGCAGATCTTTTGCGCCCTGGCCTGAAACTTCAGGCACCACCATGAACACGAAAGGTGAGTTGCCGGAGTTGCCACCCAACTCAAGCCCTTTGCAGTTTGGGGATTGGCTGCACCTCATTGCACCGTCCATGAAGGACATATCCAGTGTGGCGGGCTGGTGGTGGGAGAACACGCTGAGAGAAGCGCAGTGCTACTATGCCCAGTGGAAGGACAGCACTCCGTTGCAGCGCATCAGAATCCAGCCAGTCTTACCTGATGCCATACGAGATCACCAGTTCCAGAGGACGGAGCAAAGGGGCATTCAAATGCTCTTGAAAGCCATCCCTGAGACGGAGCAGCAGGCGCTGGTCACAGAGAGAGCGCTGTCTACAACAGCGATACTCTTCAGGCTGTTAGTGCGTTTTCAGCCGGGAGGAGCAGGAGAGAAGCAGATCTTGCTTCAGCAGTTGACGACAATGTCGAAGTCGTCCAACGTGCAGGATTTGGCTGCAAACTTGCGCAACTGGAGACGCCACTTCGGAAGAGCTCAGGAGGTTGAAGCGGTGTTGCCGGATGGGATACTACTTCTGAAAGCTCTCGACGGGCCTCAACAACAGTTGGGTCAGTATGATCCCCAGGCAGCTTTTCGTCTCAGTCAGAGTCGGATGCAACTTCAACTTGACCAGCAGCCGACACATCCGAATTTGTGGGCCTTCAGCCAGTGTTTGTTGGCAGAAGCCGAGACTCTCTCTCTGCTATCGAGCACTTCTATGACCACGGTGCCGCTCAAGATCAAGCAGCTGGAGGGTGAGTTGAAATCCCCTGGAAAAACGACCACGGGCGACCAGAAACCCAAGATGAGTCCGTCGGTTGACAAGCCATGCAGATTTTTTCATTCAGACACAGGCTGCAAGGCTGGCAAAACATGCAAATGGCAGCATACCTGGATCAGTGAGGCCGATAAGGCTACCAGGTGTTTCATCTGCGGCAGCAAGGAGCATCGAAAAAATGAATGCAAGCTCAAGGCGAACGGCAAGAAGACCAATGAGCCGAATGGCTCAGGGGGAGGAAATGGACATGGCCGAGGAGGTGATGGAACCATAGCCTCTACATCTTCTTCAACCTTGGGTGGCAAAGCTGGTGCTGCAGCTGCAAAGGTGATCAATGCTGTCAGTGAGGAAAGTGGAGCAGGTGATGGAAAAGGAACTGGACCTGCGCCTGAGTTGACCACTTCTACATCCACTGCAATGGCTGATGATGGCAAAGGTAGTGGGGGGAGTGGAGGAGAAACGACGGCGCCCAAGGACAACAAGACCAACGAGCTCCTTCATGAAGCCACCCAGCTCCTCAAGACCTTGCGTGTGAACCCAGCCAATCCAAGACTGAAGGTCATGCAGATCAGTGACCTGGAGCAGGTGGAGGACAACATGGTTTTGATCGACTCTGGAGCGACTCATGGCCTTCGTCCTGCTCATGACGATGATGAATGGCGCAAAGCAGAGCGCACGGTGGTTCAACTGGCCAATGGATCGACGGAAGCTTTCCGTTTGAAAAGAGGTACGAAGATTCTTCTTGGTCATCCTCTGGAATCTATGGCACGGATCCTTCCGATGAGTGGCCTCAGTGATTTGGACTTTGCACTGGAATGGCGTGATGGACAGTGCCGGCTTCAAGATGATGAAGGACGACAAGTACCCGTCACTCTGAGGAATGGATGTCCTATGTTGGAGATGAACGAGGGTGACAAGATCCTCAATTGGCTGGAGTTCTATCAGGTGTATCAACAAAGGAAGTTGGCGGTGGTCAAAACGATGATGGCTGATGACAGCATGGTCGACAAGTCCACACTCTCTTTGGACGTAGCGATGACCTTGAAGATGCGCCAGGAATTTCCAGATCTTCCGGATCACATCATGATGAAGCTGATTCCACACCTTGACGTGGTGCAGACTGAAGGCTTCGGAGCCAAATTGCCCTGGAATAGACACAAGCGCAGGAAGTTGGACAAGGCCAAGAACATCATCTTGCATCTTTTTTCAGGTGCTGACAAGACGTACTGGGACAAGCAGTGCTCTACAGCAACTACGGAGGTCTTGTGCATTGACAGATGTGGACAGACTCCGGCCAACTTGCATGATCGCAATGTTTTTGGCTACCTCCTGTCGCTATGTGCCTCTGGAAGAGTGAAGGCGATTTTGGCTGGTCCCCCATGCCGAACTGTCTCGGCGCTACGGTATCAAAATGATGGTGGTCCGGGCATCCTCAGAACTGATCAGTATCCTTATGGACTTCCGGATCTGTCAGCTTCTGATGCGGAGTTGGTGGAGGGAGATGTGATCCTTTGGTTTCGAATGTTGGCTTTGTACGTGCTAGCTGAAGATGTCCGTCCTCCAGAAAATCCTCAAACTCAACTTGTGGTTGAACAACCTGAAGATCCTGCAAGGTACCGAAAAGCTGAGGACGTGGAGGAGCACAAGTACATGTCAGCATTTCGCACAAAGGAATGGCGAGACTTCCAAGACCACTACAAGGTTTGGATGGTTCATTGTGATCAACATCCAATGGGGCATGTCAAAAAGAAGCCCACCACCTTGGCAACTACGATGGAAGAACTTTGTCAACTACGAGAACTTAGAGGTGATCCAGTTGATGCTCAACGTGCTGCTCAGGAGTTCAAACAGCTGTCCATGGAGCAGAGATGTCAAGTATCAAAAACTTGGGCGAGCTGGGCTCCTGGTTTGAAGTTGGCAATTGCAACTGCGATCAACAACTACATCAAAAAGATCGAGAAAGATCCAGAGTCTCCCAAGCAGCCCAGTCTTCGACCTTTGACTCAGGTGGCATTGGAAGCTTGGAAGAACCATTTCTTGAACGATCACTTGCCAGCTCGACGTGACTGTGCACAATGCATTCGAGCTCAAGCGAGGTCGAGACCTCACCGAAAGGTGACTCATCCTGAGGCCTACACACTGTCGGTGGATCTATCTGGAAGAATGACAGAAGGCCAGGACCAAGAGCATCAGCGATGCAAGTACCTGATGGTGGCATGTTATACGTTTCCGGTGACTGGAGATGGGCGGCCTCTTGTCAATCCACCAGGGGCTCCAAAAGAAGACCAAGATCATCCTTTGCCGTCGATGGAATTATACGGAGGGGAAGATC